TATCTGAATTTCATTTTGCCAATTTAGCTGATTTCGAAGATTATTAACCAAAAGAAGGACCAATTCTTTCATTTAAAAATTAATTTAACTATAAATCTACTTATTTTCCACCTAGAGGTTTAATAATATATCCAGAACCTGAATCATTTTTACCTGAATATCCAGATTCATTTATAATGTTGAATGTTACTTTAAAATAAGATAAATAAATAAAAACTGGATATGTATTATATGAAGAAGGTTAGGTGTATTTGATAATTGATAATAGAGAAGGAAATGTTCATAAATAAATTTTATAAATAGATCCTGGCATTAGATTGCCTAATCGATAAAAGAAATTAGAAATTTTAAAACATCTAATAGATAAACCAGATAATTCTTAAAGACTCTCTATAGTTCAAGAATTGTAATAATATAATTATAGACATACTTCAATAATGCTATAGAGATATGTTAAAAGAATGAATCATTATGATGAATACATATAAAATGAAATTTATTAATCATTATGTAGCAATCATATCATACCTTCAACTTCTATAAAATGTCTAAACTACTCAGAAAAAATAGTTTCATTAGAATTATTACAAAATGATATTAGAACTGAAACTGAAGAAGGTATTCAAATAACAATTGAAACTGGAATCCCTCAATCCAATGAAGAATTAATGGATAGTAAATCCTTTCAGTGTTATAGATCGAAATTTAACATAAATAAAAATAAATTTTACTATTATTAAACTAATTTAAGTTTAAAAGTTGAAGTTTGTTTTAGAGAATCTAAAATTCTAGATACAAAACTCTTGTATCTTAGTGAACAATAAGCAAAGTAAGATTTGATTGTTCTCAAGAAAAATATGCATTAATTTATCAGTAATTCAAAATTATTGGTTAAGATTTTACTCTACAATCCTAATTAAAAGTAATATTTTTATAGAACTATTGATTCACTTTAAGATATAGAGAAAATGCTTCATATTTTTATTAAGCCATAATTGATGGGATATTAAATAAAATCATAAGCCAAAATACAAAGAAGATTAATAGGAAGGGCATTATAATTCAATAGATAGGTGATATGTTTAGAGGATAGGAATAGAGATAAATTTAGTGCTTTAGATTAATTTTTATTAATGTACATAATTGATCCTTTGTAATTCATAAAAAATGAAAATCATAGATTATTAAAATCAACAATACTCTTTTATTATTTCAAATAATAATTGAAATTGACTTTGATATCTTCAAGTCGTTTAAGATATTTCATGAAAACATATTTTCATCGTAAAACTTTTAATGCTTAAAGTAGAGTTAGTAATATAGGAAAGGTATTTGTAGAATGCGAAGTTTATTAATTTAATAAATTTTATTCTGATTAATAAACTAATGATCACACATATTTCTATTTTTAAATAACACCTTAAGAAAGTAGAACAAAAGTCTTTAAATTAGTCTTGGACTTTGCTGATATTAAAAGTATATGTAATAAAGTTGTATTATAAAACTGTTTTAAAGATAAAGTATTACATCAAATAATTAAAATATTGACTGCTTATTTAGTATGTTATAGAACAAACACTTATCATGGAATTAAAATTCCTTTATCATATATTGCAAGTCAATCCAAATATGATCTTCACAATACATTTACTGAAGTAACATATGGAAGTAATATACTTGAAGAATAACAAAATGCTAGATCTTCACATCCAAAATTATCCATTTTAATAAGTGATCCAATGCTTAGAAAAAAGTCTTAAGCTTAGATTATAAATGTATAAATTGATAATTTATAAATGCCTGAAGAAGCAAATAAAGTATTAAAAAATACTACTATGTTAACTCCTATTTTTAGAGGATAGAAATTTATTTATAAAACAACTAAAATTGTTAATAACATGTATGTAATTATCACTATATCTTATTTATCTCTCAATAAATTTTAAATAGGATTATATATACCACAAACTTGTAGGAATTTTAGTTGTTATATATCATAAAATGATTTTCAAAACATGAATCCTGTATTTTTAGAATCAATATTCCCATCTAATTTAGTTACCAAAGAAACTATTGATTAATTTTATATAAATAGATGGAAATTTTCAGAAATGAACAAAATTTTTGAAATGGCAGTCAATCATCCTGATGAATTTGAAGATTTTTATAGTGAAATGCGCAGTTAAGCTAGAGCTATCCCATAATCAGAATTGTAAAAACTAACTGAAAGTAGAGTTTCCATTAATAATGAAGATGAATTCTTAGAAAAATAATATGATGAAACTCCTAAATTACTTGAATCTTTTAGTGATTAAAGTAGATAAAATGCTAGATCATCAACTTAACCACCTGTTTTTGTTAAAAAATAATTCTCTAAGTAATTTTCAGTACAAAATTCTATTGGTCAATCAAATCCTTAGAGATTATCATTACCAACATCATAATTTTAATAGAAAACAGATAAAAGTCTTTTTTATAGAAATAGTCCTAGAGTATCAAATTAATGTAGTATGGAAAATTTGTATTAAAGTGATAAAGATTTATTTTTTAATTAAATACTTGTTAGAAAAAATAATCTTGATATGATTTCAACTTTTGAAATTAAAATTTGGGAATCACTTATTGATAAAGTATAAATTACTAAGAATTCTTAAAATCGATTTATTTTAAATTTAGATACATTTAAAGGAGTCTTACGAGAAAATCTATATACATAAGTAGTATATTTAGGTAATGAAGTCAATGCCTTATTTGAAGTATTTGTTGAAAATATCAGAAAACCATTTAACATGTTAAAACCTTATATGCCTATAAGATTAAATGAGAGTTAGAATTATTAATTATATTAAAGAATCACACTCTTTGAACAACCTCAGATTGTCAATTTTAAATTAATGCTAAGAAAAGTATTATACAGTTATTATAATGATGAAAGGAGGAATCTATAGAATTTAAAATTGAATGATTGTAGTGTAGATTAATATGAATTCATAGAATCAGATATTTAGAAATGTTCAGTATATATGTTAAACAAATTAAAAAAATAACTAAAATTGAATCCCTCTAAGTTTATTGTTTAAGAAGTATAAGGAGATGAAAAATGTCCATAAGTAATTAAAGTCAATGCAAATTATGAATAGTATTCTTCATTCAAAGTATTAAATATTTATTAATTATTATTAGTGTTATTAATATACATTGTTAAAAAGGATGGTATTTACAATGAGACCAACTTTAATATATGTGTCAATATTTTATTAAGAAAAGAGGAAAAAGTTTTGGTTATATTTCGAAAGTATGAAAAATTGTAAAAATACAACTGTCAAATATAATTTAAAGGATATTTAGCATTGTATTCCTAATGCAATAGGTTTATTAAATTTGGGCTTACATTAAGAATTAGGGAATAGAATATTTCGAAGTTTTAAAAACAGACTTTTGGTCTCCACACATCAGTAATTGTTATGATATTTATATTTATAATTACTAATTGTTATAAGAAGATATAGATAATTAACTAATCGTAATTTAAATTTAATGAAAATAAAAGTGAAGAAACATAAATTGAATTAAAGATAATAACTAATATTTCCGAATTAATTTTAGTTTATCTGGGTTTATAAGACAAAAAATGAGTTAAATTGAACATAAATAGAAATATAACAAATAAAGGAGATTAGAAGATTTATTTGGACTGTATATTCTAATTTTCAGAGTAAAAGTAGATAAATATAATTAAATAAATCCTCAATTATTTGAAAGTCTAACAACATTCATATATATATCAATTACAAAAGGATTATAATATGTCTAAAATATAAAAATGTTTTTGCTTTAAGAATAAATAATCATAGATATAAAGAAAATATATTACTCTATGTATTATTAATCTAGCAATTATGGGTATATATAGAATGTTGATTTTATTAGTAACAAAGCATTATATAATAAATAAATGGTAATGTTAATAGACTGTTTTTGTTTATTCTTTTCAACATAATTTTGATTAACGTATAATAAAGTTATCCTTTTTTATCTAATTAAATATTTTATATTAATATAAATATTAATGGAGGAACATCAATTAGTGATGGAATAGTTGGAAGGCATGAAGAATTTAAAACAATTGTTTCATAAAATGAAGAATGGAAACATACGCATTGTTGATGGCTTGTCTATTGTGATTTATAAATTGATTAGACAATTTAGACCCTCAAGTTCAGAATATTTAGTACTTCTTTAAGAATTGTTTTATTTGTCAATAGATATGTAATTGATTCACACTAGTGATGTAAATATACATAAAAACAATAGCAAGTACTCAAAGTTTTGTTAAAGAAATTTCCTACATCTGAAAAAGTTTAAAGATTGAAAGGATATTTGTTAGAAGCTAATGAAGAAGATGATAATGCTTTAGTAGTATATGAGAAGATGTTGTCTGAAAATTTGATGGATCAAAATACAAGAAAGAGAAAAATAGCATTGTAAAGAGTAATTAATAATAAATATATATTAAAGAGATAAAATAATGTGGATTAAGCAATAGCCTTATTGAATAGTTTTCTTACTTCATTTCCCAATGATGCTGAGGCATGGCTTGAATTATCAGATATATATTTAGAGCATTTGAACTACTCTAAGGCTTAATTTTGCCTTGAAGAAGTCTTATTACTTAATACATAAGATTTACATTTAGCAATTAAATTAGCAGAAGTATAAATATTTATTCACATTAAAAGATCAATTATTCCAATTAAAATTACACTTAAGCTAAGAACTATTATTGTTTTGTCTTATCCAAAAATCCAAATGAACCTAGATGTTTATGGGGTCTATTGTAAGCATTAAGAAAAAAGAAGAGAGAAGGAAATGATAAAGAATTAGGAACAATTGTTATATAGGCCTTACAGAAAATCTACAAATAACAACCAATCAAATATCCATTTGAAAAAGTAGCACTTGAAATACAATAGTGAGATAAATAAATAACATTGTCTTTATCAATTTCTTAATTCCTATATCACCTCAGTAATGAGATGATTAAAAACTAATTCACTTAGTTCTAATGTCACCTCTGTATGTTCTTCATCAAATTCTTACCATCTATCATCATTTTCAAGTACCTAATTATTATTAATTAATATAATTACTTCCTACTTTAACAACTTATCTAATCTCTCTTCTCTCACCTATGGCAAAATATCATTATCTATCTAACTTCCTTATGGTAATAATATTCCACATAAGGTCTCAGCCCATTATACTACTTTGGATGCAGATTGATTCAAAGTTTCATCTAAATCTTTAATCTAACGAGATATCACATTCCTTCTCCAAGGTAATGGTTTTCCCTTGATTCCAAAAGGTCTAAAGTAATCCAATGATTCATTATAAGCATCAAATATAGCTTTATTGTGAATTCTCTCCATCTCATTGTTACAAACCTCTTCTTAACTTATTTTCTCTTTTTAAGTAAATATTTCTAATCCTAAGACAGCCTAATGAATGAAACCTCCATCTACTGATTATTCAATCATTTCTTCAGTCAACCTAAAGAATCTTAAGATTTCGAAAGGAGATGGACCAATTCCCAAATTTACTATTTGCAAAAACTGATTTTAATAGTGATTTCGAACTATTAATTTAATATCTTCCAAATATTAACGAATATATCCAACATGAGTCTAAACATATTATAAATTTTCTATCTATCCTTACTCTTCCATTTCTAATGGAACATCCCTTACTTAAATAAATTATTACTTCTAATCCTTGAATATACGAAGAAAGAGTCTTATTTGATTGGTTAGAATTATATGAAACTAATTGTTATTCTTAATCTTATTAAGGTATTTTCTTTTATGGATTAAGTAAATTCTCTTCCGAATAACTTACTCTTAAAAGCTAAGTGAATATAAATAATATATTACATTTATTTTTAAATCATTCAATTAATTTTTTAGTAGATTACTTTGACTTAAACTTAGAGGCATCATTTTATTGAAATTATCAACACCTAATTTTTGTACAAATTTTAAATCCTTTTATGTTTTTTATATGGTATCATAAGCCTTTTACCATCCTTCTTTTATAGCTTATTTATTGTGTTCTAATAATTCTAGTTCCTTTTCTCCCCATTTCATAATCTCTTATTCTTTAACTCCAAATGATCGAGGTGATATCCTTTCTTAAATCAATAAATCCTTAAGTATATTTTTTTCTCTTTATTCTCTTTCCTTTATTAATTATCCACGAAGTTACAATATCTATCCTATCTAAGTAGGAAATACATCTCTTCTCTCTACAATTAATTTAGATGGTTTTAATTTTATTTAAGGCATTTCAAAATTATCAGTAAACACATTTATTTTATTAAATTCAGCATGTTTTATTAAATTTTCAATTAATTCAGATATAACAATCATATCTTATTTAATTTACAATTTTTCTAAAAATTCTCTTAAATTATTCCATCTAGTAATTTCTTGATTTTTGAGTTTCTAAAATTATTATAATTTAATAATTTTCTTATCTTTTTTTTATTTTGATATCTTTCTAATTTTGTGTCCTCTAAACCATTTTTAAATACAGATTGCTGCATGATCCTTCATTTCTTATTCATAATTTCTAGATTCTCTCATTGAAATACCATCACTATTACTTTTTAAAGTTTTATAACGAGCTTCTAATTATTTAAATTATTCTTTTAATGACTTTGGTCCCCCAGATTTTCTAGAAGTACTCTTACGATTTGCAACATAACTCAACATTAATGGTTTGGCACTTGCTTTGTTAGAAGTATCTCTTGGAGGGGATCTACTATTTGATAAGGAATTGCGTTTTGCAATTTCAGCAAGAGATCGTAGATTCTCATCAATATGCTTACGTTTTTCAGCAAATGATTATTATTTAACAGATTCAAGTTAAGAGTAAAACTTTTTCTTTTCTTTCATATAATGTTTGAGTTATTGTGGAAATTAATGTCTTTCAGGTGTGAGTGGTTGATGATGTGAATGTTCAATGGATGACATGCGGTTACCTACACACAAATATAGCCACAAAATATACGCTCAAGAATTTGGTCTATTCTTCTAGTTCCAATTTTATTTAAAAAACTCAAACCAAGCCTATCACGATGCTCTTAAATCGAACTTGGTTTTTCATTGAAGAATGTGGCAGCCTTTTTACGACGAACATATTCTGGTGATGAAAATTCAACAGTTTAACTTTAAACCCTTTCAGCACTTACGCTTTTTTTAATTTTAGTTGATTTCTTCTTCTTTTAATACAATTATTGACTCTTTTTAATGGCCGCATTACGATCTAAAGATTTCTTTTTCTTAATTTTATCAGTACTCTTTCCCACTTTAAGTTCACTTTAAGATTACTTAATGTGTGATTTCAAGTTGTCATACTAAACAATTTGAATTGGGTCAACAGCACTTGTATCCTAATCTGATGGACCAATAATGTCTACTTCTGATGCCATTTTCTTTTTCATTAATTTACCACTTAATTTGATTTGATTTGAAATTCTTCTTCCTTTTATAGGGGAATTGTTTTACATTAAATTTAATTAACAGTCAAGTGCTTAATCTATTTTATTAATGATTATTTTATCAAGATACTTAAATAACATCATCATCAACAATGTATTATAGAATTCTCAACTTTTTATAAACATCTGAAATATTTATAAGATTATTCAACACATGAACATTTTAAGTATCATGATTGAATAAAAGAATTAAAAATAGGAAATTTAATATAAATCTATATAGGATGAGATCAATATGTTATGATATAACATTTTTTTAAATGCAAAGATAAATGGTAACATAAAAATTAAATAAATGTGAAATTGAGTTTAATAGTATTAATAATGATTTCAAAAAATAAACATATAATACTTTATAAGAATCAAATAAATTAAAGGAAACTTTAAATTATTAGTAATATTAATTTAATAATTAAATCAATAATATCATTAGAATTATTATGATAAATCAAAAATATATATAATAAATATCAATAAATTAAAATAATAAATTCAGAGTAGTAAAATAAAAAATTACAGATAATTAATGATAAAAAAAAGAATAAAAATTAAATATTAAAAAAATACTAAAAATTTTGATATTATTATTTTATACATTATCAATAATTATCACTAGACTGTCATTCCTTAAGTTTCTGGATCTTTGGGTGCTATTTTAGAGCCTGAACCATCTCCATCTTTGAAACCATAATTTGAAATTCTATATGCTCTCAATCCAACACAACAGTTTGCCAAAGAACCAAAAAACATAGAAACACCTATTATAATTATTAAAATAGTTGTTCTGGATATTCCTGGAATAAACACAACACATAGACCATCTAATACATTATTGAATGATTCCTATAAAATTATAAATAAATTCTTACCTTCAAAAATGAACAATCAACTCCATTTAATAAAGCCTCTAAGTGCCCCATAATAGTGTCAGCATCACTAATAAAATCATTAATCTTATTCATATAATCTTCGAATGTCTTAGATACATCTGCATTTAAAGTTAAAATATTTTATTCTTTTGATGTTGGAGATGACCACATTGAAGATTATTTATTATATTGACTTTTCAATACAGCAGTTTCAGCTAAACCACTCTAATCAGCACAAGATGGTGTTGATGATGCTAAATAGGCAGGATGCCAACATTTCTAACTAAATGTTGATCCAGTATCTGAAGCAGATCTCATAGGTAATAATCCATCAGCACATTTACTAACTGCCAATTCAACACAACCAGAATTTGATTTGAAATTATTGAATTTATCAAAAGCTGCTTTTAGTGGAACATAGTCAGCTGGTTTTACATCAAAGACAGTTCCATCTTTACAATTTTAAACGGCTAAGAGATTATTATTTAATTTGTCATTAAAATCTTTTTTTTGACCATCAAATGAAGAGTATTATGTTTGGAAATCAAGGATTTGTTATTTAAATCCTACTAAAGGATCAGTAGCTGAAGCTAAATTCATGACTTCAAATAGACTCTCTGCTGAACCAGGGAAGAAACAGGAAGATATAATATCTTTAGTTTCTCCTGCATCAATGAATTATGTTTGTTAATAAAATTCATAGTCATTGACAAATGAATCGAGATAATAACATACTTCAGCAAAGATGACAGAGGATGGATGTAAAAGGAGAGCTAATAAGAAACATAATATCATCAAAATGACATAGATACACCAAGTAAAGTGTAATAATCCTCTTACTTTATAGATTTTCAATAAAACAATCAAAATGATAGAGCAAATTGATACTATACTTAGACCCAATCCTACACCAAATAATACATTAAGAGCTAAAGTTGCATATGTTCCAGCATCATCTAATACTTTAGTATTGTCATAAAGAGTTGTGCTGGCATCATTAATATCAGAAATAAATCCATCAATTGTACTACTTCCACTCTCTAATGTGCTAGTATCAAAAGCATCTCCTGAGATATCAGTAGCATAAGTTTCTAATTCTTCTGCTGTTTTAACCATTCCATCATAATAAGAAGCAAAAGCCTCTGGCTAAGGTGTGCATTTTAAATGATCTTTATAAATTGATTGTAAATTGTTGTAATTTGAAGTATAGGTAGAGGAAGATGAATCAGTAGATGACATCAAAATATAGTCAAGCTAACAAATAGAATATAATAATTACAAAGTTTTATGAGGATAAATAACTCTCAGCTCCACCATCTAAAACTGGTACTGCTGCATTGGAGGCTCCTCTTTTCATGCTAAGAAATATTATAAATTAATATTTTTACTTATTATTGGCTGTGATCACATCATTCTTTTTTTGGCTTATGGTTTTTGAAGTCTTGCTACCAAATACAACTTTTAGTTATTTTTAAAAGTCTGAAATCTCTTAATTTATAGAATCAATGTTATCTGCAAGACCAGCTAAACCTGGAAATGCTCCTGAATTTCCATAAACGATATCATAGAACAATGATACCAAGGAACAACGAGCAGCTTTCATTCCTCTTTCTACGTCACCAGAATATGCTAATCCTGCTATTGATGCTGCGAAAAGCAATAAATTTAATATAAGAGCAAATCCTACTGGAACATAAAGCTCCATTTTGGATAACTTATTGAATTCATAGTCTCTTTTACAACATTTTGATGGTGGGCATTTTCTATTAATATTAATTATTGTCTTACTTATCACAACAACAATAGCAACAATAGAAAATCCAACCAAATATAGATATGATCAAAAAGATAGCCCAAGGGATTATATATCTTAAGAGATTCAAAATCAAATCAATCCCTGCACTTTGATCATTAACAGCTGTTGTAACATCGCTTCTTATATTAGTGTCATATAGATTATCAAGTATTTATTATGCACTATCTCTTTCTGATTCAGTTACTTCAAGATCTAGTTTTATAATATTTGTTATTTACCGTCTGTACAAATCTCTTCTTTTTATGTTTTGACATCTAATTTGGATTCTGATGCTTCGAAGTTCTAAAGTAATAGAATTAAACCTAAGAAAAGTGAAGAGTAAATGAGTTTTTTGGCAAGTTTCATATAAATATATTATTGATTTTGCAAGATTTTATCCAAATATTTAAATCTAGAAATGACGCACTTGTTTCTATTAAATTTGATCCTAAATAGAATGTCTCATTTAACTCATCAGTCACAGTATAATATGAATTAGATAATGGTGATTTTTTTAATTTAAAAAAGTAAAACTGTTGTCATTACAACCAGAAAGAATTTAGGTCTGTTATGATTAAATAATCAACCCTTTCATTAAAATACATACACAGTGAATATTAAAAACTTATCATCACAAATAAGAGTAAAATAAAATTAAATCTCTTAATAATATTATGAATAAGATAAATAGCCACAAAGATAATTATCATAACTTTAAAGTTTTAGAATTTAAGTTAGACATTAATTATAATATAATAACTTTTGTTTTCTAACAACAATATTAATAACATTGAAGGAATGACAATTTTTATTTCTAATTAATTAATAAAATATATTCATTATTTTGCCTTAATATCTAGTATTTATTAGTACTTTGATTCTTTAGGCTTTCCGTATTTTTATTCAAATTCTTTGGATTTTAATTTCTATGCATCTTCTAATTTTTATTATATAAATTATTGAGAAGATTTGCTTTATTGCATTTTACTCAATAATAGTGTTTCTTACTACTCTAAATAATTCATTAAATTTTCTTAATCCATCATAGATTTAGATAATTGATGTTTAACTTTTTTTTATTCCTCTTCAAATTTCTTAACTCTCTCATCCCAATACACTTAATAATTATATTTAGATTAAAATTCATCTAATTAGACTTTATTTCTGTTTGTTCTTCTTTCTTAATACATTTATTGCTTCTATTCTTCAATTGATTTTTAATGAAGACTACTAATTTTCTTCATATATTTTGCTTGTTCCTCTCGTTCCTTATCAACTTGAGCTTTGGCTGTTTTAATAGCCTTATTGAGTTAATATCTCTTTATTAAATTATCCTCTTTTTTTCTTTATTCACTTTAAGGATCATAAAGAGACTCCTTTGCTGATTTTAGCTTTAATAATTGTTGATATTTAAATTACTTCATCTACTATATCATCATGTAGTTTTTTCTTCTTATACACAATCTCTAATTTTTTATTTGGAGGTTTCAATAGTTATTATTATTTAATGAGCATATTGACCCTTCCCATCATTTATTCTATTTATCTCTATTACTCTACATTCTATTACTTTAATGCCAAAATTGTAGGGTCTTAATAATTCATATATAAAAATAAAAATTAATTACTCAACATTTTGTAATTGTTTAAGGAATTTAATAATTTTTATCAAAATTATTCAGCAACTTTTTTATAATTCAATTTAAAAAGAATATATATATATATCAAATTAAGTTAAATTTGATATTATTCAGTTTTTATATTTTTCAATTATGCTATGATATAATGTATTAAACGTAATTGTGAATCAATTAAAAACTATCCATTTTAATAATAAATAGAACTCAATAAGTTTTTTGTTTGATTTATTTATAGATTAAATTAAATGCTAAAGGTAAATTCCAAATCTAGGACAACTCTAGCAAGTACTCCATAATCTACAGCGGAAAGTAATCGATAAAATCTATTAATTTGGGATTAAATGTTTGGAAATTTTAATAATACCCTTAAATCTAGAAATCAGGCATAAAGATTAGCTGCATAAAAATATTAATTGATAAACGATCCAATATGTACATCATCTCCATTGCATAAGCCTAATCCATTTTCATTTAATGAAAAGCTAAGATAAGGATTTCGAGAATTTTTATGCGGTGAACGTTCTGCTCTCAACTTAGTTAATGAATGCAATCACTTAAATAGAAAGGAAGCAAAGTTAAAAAATAGGATGAAACTTATTAAAAGAGCAAATATGTTTGCAAATTAGTTGTAAGTTGGAAACAAATACAAGTCTCTACATTAACAAGGACTTACAGATGAAGAAATTGAGAAAAAAGTTAGAGTCTTTTAAAGATTTGAGAAAATAAAGAAACTAATTTAGAAGAATTCATAAACAGAACCAAATGAAGAAAACAATCTAAGAGATGTGTAACTTTTTAGGTAACTTTATGAAGTGAGTGAAGAGAATAAAAATAAAATAAAGCAAAGAAATCTATTAACCGAGAGAGCTGATGGGTAACGTGAATTTAATAATGTAAAATATAAAACTCATGGGTATTTGAGAGTTAAAAAAGTTGAATAATAAAGAGGTAATACAGCAAGTTGCGAAAAGAAATCATTTATTAAACAAAAGGTTCGAGATGCCATTAATGAGTAATTAAGTGGATTTATAAAGGAAAGATAATAAAAGGAGAAAGATATCTATAACAAAGCGAAAAGAAAAATGCTTATGAAAAATAATTAATATCAAGGGTTTTCAAAGGAGAAATATGTTTTGAATGATCCTCTAAGTAAGGATGTTAAATTGTATGCTTATATGTTTATGAAAAATAAAGACAAAGGAGCAAGAACAAATATATCTGAAAGGATGTGTCATACTGCTAGAAATGAGGAGAGACCAAAACATTTCATTAAGAACTTTAATAATGAATTAACATCTCGCAATGTAAGTATGTCTAATGATTCATCTCTTAATTCAATGTTAGAAATCAATATAGACAATATGTATAGAGCAAGCAATTCAATATAAAGTTAAATTCTTTAAAGTGATTCTGAAAAATTCGTCAAGAGAATTAAACAATTTTAAAAAGTCTAATAACTCAATTTTGAAATCATAAAAGTGAACCAACAGAAACTCTCAACTGAACGTAAGTCGATTCTGTTTTGATTATAATATATTTACCAATTTTATATATAATTTTATTTTATTATTTTTAAAGAGTATTAGCTATTTTATATAATAGACTTTATATATATGAGATCAAAAATGTATAGGAAATTAATTCATAACTTGTTATAATAAAGATTTGGCACTATCATTAATAAGAGTATATAATAAGTTTAAATTGAATAGAATTATCAGAATGAGAGATAACTAAATTAATTTTTAAGAATTTTATGAGATAAAGATGAAATTCATTAATTTATTTATTCCATATCAATAATTGTATAATTTATTAATTCATAGAAACTAATTTCATCTTTATAAAAAACGTTCTAGCATTGCTTTTATCATATCGTCCATTTAAGTGTGGTATGATATGGCACGATTCCCTATTTGAGTTGCTTATTCATATTATTTTTCACCTATTTCAAGTAAATAATTATCATATGGTAATTCCATCACTTCTTTCCAAACTGTGTAATGCAATTCTAAGAATTAGAATAAGGATTACATTCTAATTTACGTAAGAGAGCAATATATTATTCTTTAGCGTTGACATGAGTATTTTTGGATTCGGTAAAGAAGAGTTCCTTATCCAATAAATCAAAAGAAGATTCAAGTTAATCATTCATCATTTTAATGAGATATTCGGATATTACACTTCTCATTAAGCTAACTAATTAGATAGATTCTTATTTCTTATTGGGATTCTATTTTTCTCTGAAAAGTTTATCAACACTCTTCATAAAGAAATCTACTTCTTAACTTTGCATTTATTTGAAAGAACCTATCATAATCTTAGATTCTAATAATTCTAAGGTCTTATAAATATCTTATTCATCATTTGATTCCAATACTAATTATATTGATTAATTATAATACCTTCTTAAATCTTCTAATGTAGATAGTTGAACTCTTCAAATCTTTTACTTATGTCTTCTGGCTATTAATGCTTGATTTTGGCTAGTTCTTTAATATCACCTTCGATTAATTTTTCCTGAATTTAATTATAAATTTACTTTGTCTGCAATTATTCGTTTTATCTTTTCAATGGCTTCTGGAAATGTTTCCCTCAAAAACTATTTTATTTCTTCTTTCTCATTTTTATTGCTTGTCTATTACTTCTTAAAGGATTTTATAAACTATATTATAACTTTTTGCATTACTTCTTAATAATGTTCCTTGTAAATTGTAAGGCTTTCTTCTTCAAATTCAAGATTACCCTTTTATTTCATTTCTAACTTTTCTAATGCTGTATAGTATTCTAATTAAGATAGAAATTCTTTTATTCCATTCATTTTGTTATATACGTCCATCAAGTATTACTCCTATTTATGCACATATGCAAATGCATTTATTGATAGTAGTATAATTAATAACATAATTAATAATGAATAAAGAAGGTCCTGGTTTCTTGTATAAAGTATATTCTATTTTAGAGGTATCTCATTCAAAATATTCTAGCATTCAGATTACGATGATATTGTGAGTTGGAATGACAACGGTGATGGATTTCAAGTGAAAGACATCAATATTTTTTAGAATGACATATTGCCCAATTACTTTAAGCATTCTAATTTTGCTTCATTTGTCAGACAGGTATAAGTTATATTTAAGAATATAAGTTAAATATGTATGATTTTCATAAGACAGAAAAGAATTCTTTTAAACATAAATTGTTCAGAAGAAATTAGAAGTAAAATATTATAAAGACAATAAAGAGAGTTGCTTCCCTAAATAAAAAGAAAAGTAAATGATTAAATTATCATACTGCCAAACATTGAATAAATTAATCAAGAATTGTCAATGTTAACGTTGAGAAATTAAGAATTGGAGTCTTTGTTTACCTATATCATTCAACAAAGTGATAAATTAAAAAAGGAGAATGCCTTTTTATGGTAAGAATTATGTAAGATAAAGTAATACTTATTCAGATTTACTTATCTAGATAAAAAAACGATCACTAATAAGAAAAACTGTTCGATTGGTTAACCAACAACATTAGTGCAGAGTCTTTGTTCAAAATTCTAGAAAAAAGTATTACCAAAAAGGATCTCATTAAATTGGTTTCTAGAGTCTTTGGATAAGATCAACAAAATAAAAAAATCAAAAAAGACTATTTCATTTGAATTATCTTATCATCATGACATATTTCAAAATACTGAGCATGATGTTATTCTTATGCTTGGTGGTGAAGCAGGCATATAAACTACAATTTTAACATTTTTTGTTTTATCTCCATTTTTTAACAAAGCTGAAATATAATAATTGCTTCCATTCACAATCTGTTATTCCACATTCAAAATTTTATCCCATGAATATCCAGAAGTACCAGCACAAGATGCTAATTATTATCTAAATAATTAGAACTTTTAAAATTTTATTTTGCATATGCTATTGCCTATCCTAATCCTTAATCATTTTAATCTGGTTTGAATTTACCTCCTGCCATAGGTCTATGTTCTCTACAGAATATGCTTGATAACACTATTAATAATATCAATAATTTCATTAATTATAATAATAATTAATTGATTATTTCTTTTTATTGATGAATCTTTTTTTAATACATTTTCTTAATAACAAAATGGATAATATAAGATGATTTTAATCAATAATATATTATTATTAAATATAAAAATATTTATTTTATGTAAAAGTTTTTTTGTTCATAAAATTATTAATTTATTGAGTTAACCAATTTATATTAAGAATGTTATTTTATATAAAAACTTGATTTTTAGTATTAATTTTGAAGAGTATTAATAAAATATTGTAATAAAATTATTGAAGGAAGAAAATGGTTGCATTCATTTTAAGAACATTTTAATTAATAGTAAATTTGTCCTTTATTTTAGTATATTTTATGATGTAAATAAAAATATTAATGAATTCAATAGTACTCGTGTAAAAAAGGATAATAATTTACATTTGTTTTAGAATTAAAAATGGTAATTTCAATGATGATACTACAAATGTAAGCATGTATTAAATTAATTTAATTTTAAAAGCATCGATAAAACTTATATCAGTTATTTTTTCTCTCATACAATAGTGAAAAAGGAATAGTATTAGGAATGAAATATAGGTTCTTAGTATTTTGAAATGGAAATAATATTAAATTCGTTTAAAATTAAGATTTTTTGGAATTATTATAATTATTATTCATATTATACGTTTTAATTTTTATATAATTGTTAATTTATTTCAATTAAGTAAATGATGTAATTTACGGCTGTTATGATATTCATCATTTGGTAAGATATTAAAAATAAGTTAGTTGTTATTAGGGGATGAGTAGTTGTGTTTTTGATACCATCACAAAACCAGATACAGAATAAAGAATTATTGAATAAAACTTAAGCGGTTTAGGAACAAAAAGTTATGGCTGGGGAGTTTGGACAAAATATGAATCAGGATATGGAAGTCCAGAATAATTAAGTTAAACAATATCAAGTATGCATGTGTTAACAGAAAAATATACAGAAAGAATTATATTATCATATTTTATAGTAATAGATAGAGAAAAATTGATATTTTATCATCGATTATTAATATAGCATGGAGGAGTATTATAAATTAGAGAATTGAAAATTAATGTAGCTATAGCCAATAAAAAATGGGTTTTTTTCTATTTTTGTTTCAAAGAAACATTGAAATCTTACAGTATGTTTCTTTATGTAGATAATGATGTTTTTCATGTAAGTATGTCAGCAGGGGGACCTTTTGACATAGATGACTTGATTAAATAATATCATTTAGGATAAATCGTTGATGTAATTAGAATGCTAAAAATAGGTGATTAATCCATTTGATGAGTCCATAAATTATAATTTAAGTGTGTTTATCGGATTGATTAGTGATATGGATTTAAGAACAGGGGAGTCCAATTATTATCCAGATATTTAATCTTTTCTAGATAGTTTAGAATCGGTTGAGTGTATAAAGGAATTAGAATGTTCAGGAGTGAGTAAAATTATAAATTTTGATAATGCAATCTTTAATGATTAAAGTGCTCGGATATTATCAAAATTGAAATACGAAAACTCTCGCTTTTTTATAAGTGGATGGGTGAGAGTTTCTCAGGTTCCATTATATTAATAGAGAACTTTAGCTCTATTTAGAATGACTTTGAAGAATAAATATGAAGACGATCAATATTATGGAGATAGAGCATTATTTTGGTAATATTTGTAAAACTCAGATTAACCTGATTCATCCGGATTGATAGTGACTACTTATCATGAGAATGACCCATTTATCCCTTATACAACAAATCATAATGATATGATAAGTTATTTGAGTTCATATTATAGTAAGGCAATAACAGAATGGCATTGGTTTATTTATGAAGAAGGAAGAAGTGGAACAAATAATATTTAGAATACAATTTTTTGGGGAAATGGAGGTTACAACAAAAAAACAGATGTAAATTAGTTATAATAAACTCACTTATTTGAAACATCCTTGTATATGACTCTAGGAGGAGATAAATTCTATAATTTTATAGGTCAAATCTAATAATTTGAGTTTTAATATTGCCATAATAATGACATTTCATATTTTATAAGTATGGGTATTTTATTCCATAATAGAATGTCATTATAGTTGCTAAAGTTGTTTTGGCCCTTTAGAAACTCATTGTATAACCTGTCCAGATGAAGAAACTTCAAACCGAGTATACAATCAAGGTTAGAGTAGCTGTGGATGTAAAGGTTCTTATGTTGAGAATGAAGATACTCAATGTGTTAGTAATGAATTATAATATAACTTTTAGAAAGCCAAGAATACTTTTAAGATGTTACTATTCTTGAAGGTGAAGATTCTAATTTATTTGCTTGTGGTTTAGGTTAATTTTATGTTTAATTTGGGTAAGTAACTTATTGTGCTGATTGTCCAGGTAATAGGGAACCAGATTTCATTAATAGAAGAAAATTGTTTTGTGTTGATTGTCTAAATTAATAGTACACATGGTATTCAAATCCAATTTGTACAGAAGATTATGAATAATTAATTTCAAGTTCAACTAGTGCTTATTAAAAGAAAGCTAGAATACCAATAGATTATGAATATTTCCTTATAAATTTCAATGCTTAAATGAACTAAATCGAAATAGAGCTTTGTTAAGGTTGTTTAAGAGAGATGACTGAAAATTCTGATTATATTGTAAAGTTAAAATTGGATTAAAAAATAAAAATTGTATGCAAAACATGTTATTTAATTATTGATGGAGAATGTATTAATGTAAATAGTAATTGTAATTCTTGTGATTCAGATAAATGTATAGAATGTTCATAAGGTTACACACTCTATTAAAATTAATGTTACAAATGTCCAGTCATTTGTCCAAATGATTGTATATTTGATGGATCAAAATTTGGTTGTTTAAAATGTGAGATTGGTTATTATTTAGATACTGTAAATAATGAATGTTTATAATGTGGAGCTAATTGTCTAATTTGTTAACCAGGAATACCTATGGATGGAGATTTTGTTTAAATGTAGTGTTTTAAATGTATTGATAACAAAGATTTTTTCATTGATGCTGATCTTATTAATTGCAAACCTAAAAATATGCCTCATTGTATTTATTAATATTAAGAATTCTCTCAACGCTCTTTATTTGAAAATGATACTCATTAATATAAATTTTAAAGTTCTTTAGACCTTAATTTCTCTAAGCCTTCCACTAAATTTTATGATAGATGCGCACTTTGTGAAAAAGGTTATGTATACAGCTTACATGAATTTGAATAGGGTAAGGATAAATGCATATTATATTCTGAAATTACTGATTAAGATTACCCAAACTTTAATTCTCTTCAAATCGCTCCAGAATCTGAAGATGATCATTTCTAAATAATGCTGTTTCATTAGCATTCATATCTAGGATTAATTACAAGAATTTTAATGATTCTTGGAGATTATATGACTGCAACTCTAGGTGGGAAAGTATAAGATGTTACAGTAATCTGTAATATAGATAGAAAAGTCAAAAGAAGCTTGGATGTAACACCATAATATGAGAAAGATTTATTATCAGAATGTACTAAAAGTAATTGCAAATAATGTATAAAGAATTATGTTTGGTTTAATGAATATTGTATGCTTTGCAATTAGGGTTATTATGCTGAAATTTTTTCAGGTTAATGTTATTAATGTGTAGCAAAATTGCATTGTAGAACATGTTAAATGTAACATAAAGTTTACAAAGATGGATGGAAATGGGAAATCAGGGCATATTATCGTGCAAGAACTTGTGCAAATTATTGTCATACAAGTTTTAATGCGAAATGTACCACCACAAATGTAGATGATTATGAAGTTTATTGTACATCATGTGAAGAAGGATATGAACTTTATAATGAAAAATGCATTCCAAAATGCAGTTGTTCCAAATGTATTATACAAAATGATTTATACATTTGTGTAGAATGTCCTTCATCCTTAATAAATACTAATTAACCTATTCAAACCTTAATAAATAATAAATGCACTGACTGTCCTGCTAATTGTGCTTTATGTCGAGAATTAAATGATGATGAAATTAGAAAAATTAATCCTTACTTTAATCCATAATATAGTCATCTTGATATTTATTCCAAATCCTGTATTAAGGGTTATGAACCAGATAAATCTTTAATGTAATATTAGTACATCTATCGTGATCCAATATTAAGTACTTAAATTTTATGTTAGTAATACTAAAAATGTTATTAATATTTAGAATAAGAATATACAATCTATTGTAGTTAATATGCATATGATTATGATCTCGATTCATCTATTAACAAGAATGCATTTCGATACAAGAATATGGCATTATCTCACTTATTTTCAGAAACTCATTTTTCTATTGAATCTGAGAAGCTTTTTGATGAACTCAATAAAAAATCTATTAAATCAGCTAAATATATTCTAAATTTTAAATATTATAATGATGAACCATGCATTATTCCACCTAATTCTGTAATCTTCTCAAATCTCAGAAGAAATGTCTTTACTCTCCAATAATTAGAAATTATACTTATTGGAGACATAACAAAGTAAACTTTCATTCAAAGCACTTTTTATCTCGAAGATTTTACTAAAATTACACTTTAAAATTTTTTAATTGTCAAATCAACCAAATAAAGCTCTATTGGTATAACTTAGCTTAATAGAGTCAGTGTAAATCTTGAAAATTTCATAATAAAAGATTCAGATACATATAGATTTTAAATCTAAATCAAGGATCCTTTAAATGTCTAAATTAATAAATTTTAAATCATTAATTCGAAAATAGTTGATACCTAAGGAATTATTGCTTATTCATTTAGCAAAAAAATTATTGATAGATTTGAATTCTTGGCAAATAATATTACACTATTGAATTCTGAATTTTAAAATACTTAAATAATCCTTCAAATTTTATAAGATAATTGCAACAATCAATTTCATGAAATCACTTAAATAAAATCAATTAAAAATAAGTTTATTTCATCATCATTATTTGAAACATATTTTCCATTATCTGAGAGAAAGTCAAGCTTCATAATTATAGGGTTTTCTGCTGCTCGAGATACATTAACAAAGTCTGGTTATGCAATTTTATAAGGTGCTCTTGATGTAAAACTTTAAGATTTGACTATTCAAAATAGTGCCATTTTAGAAGGAACAAAACTATTTTAATTACCACTATTTGTTATTAAAAATTTCTTTTTTGATAGCAATAGTCTATTAAGTAATGATAATAGAGTAATTACCAATTTAATTAATATTGTATATTCTGATTTGGATTCTGTTACTTCAAACATTTTAACATTTGATAATATCAAATTCTAAAATAATTACTATGTGAGTAGTAAGGGTTTCATAGAAATAATACAAAGTAGTAACTTTAGATTTTTAGAACTAAAGATCACTGATCTTACATTAATTAGGAATGATATGATATCGGAAAAATCATCAGTAATGAAGGCAATTACTTTAGAAAATTCTACAATTTATTTGGACATAACATCATTATAATTGACTAATGTATTTGTATAGAGAAATTTAAATTTGCCTGAATTTACAATAAAAAATGCTAAGAATGTTATAATTAACTAATTTACAGGACAGTTGATTAAATAATTTAATATTCTTCATCCTTCAAAATCATGTCTTTTTTCTGTAGATGAAATCAGGTAAACTACTATGCTTTTCTTTTTTAATATATTAAACTTAGAAATGTCAAATATTATTATGTATAATCTCACATCTATAAATTTACCTTTGATTTTAATAAAATCTATTGAAAAATAAAATAAAAGACAATAAGAAAAGATTTTCCTTTAAAATTGTAAATTTGTTGGAAATATCCTGATGGTTTCTAAGACTTCAGAATAATTGGGAGTATTAGCTATATAATCTGAACAAGAACAAACAATAGTTTTTTCGAAATTGATATTCGAAGGCAATATTTAACATAGTTAAATTGACAATATAGCCTTTATTTCATCTTCAACAATTTTATTAATTACTCCATATTCAACTATTGAGATGAGAGATTCAGTATTTTATAAAAATATTGTTACAAATGGAGAGAATTCTAATCTTATTTTGATTGGTAAATCAGTCTCATTAATGGATTCATAGTTTTTAGATCAAAATAACATTGAGTTCTAATCTTTTTCACAACATTTAAATTGGGGATTCTAATAGAATGATTAAGTATATTTGGAAGATTTAATCGAATCATTTCCAATATATTCTAAAGGAGGAGCTGGTTATATAAAAGGTTCAGAGATCTTAATGGATAATGTATATGTGAACAATACTCAAGCATTATTTGGAGGAGCTTTTTATTTGATACCTTAATCTATGGGTTCATTGAAATTGATGAATTCTTAATTTTCTAATTGTAAGACTATAGAAACGAATTTAGAGAGATCTCAAGGAGGTACTTTATATATTGATTCATCTTAATCTCAATTAGACTTATTAATATAAAATACAACCGTAACTAATTCATATAGTAGAAATGAAGGAGGATGCATTTATATTGAGCCTTCTAGAGTGAATAGTTTAATCTAATTTTCAGATTTTAGCATTTAGAATATATACTCCTTATTGACTCCTTTTTTAAGAACACCAGTTAGCTTTACAAGTTCTTCTTTATTACTTATGATTCAATTTTATAATGTTCAAATTATTAATACTTACAGTGGATATTTAAGTTATTTAGAGGAAATAGTAGATATGAAACAAACTGAAATATTGAATCAAAAAAATAACTATTTAATCTCAATAGATTAAGGTAATGTTACAATGCAAAATTGTTTATATAAAAATATCTTTAATTATGGATTTTTGAATTGTTAAGGTTGCCAATCAATGAAATTAAAAAATGTAGAGATTAAGAATTTTACTATGTTATCAGAATCAATTATTAACATAATACTAAATAAAAGTAATTATTATTATTATAGATTTAGAATATTAAAGTACAATTACATTAAATGAGGTTTCTGTAGATAATGTAATAGAATTTCATGGGTTGGTGGATATTCCAGAAGAAAAGGTAGAGATTCTTGTGAATACTGTATATAAATGCAATTAAAATTTTGTGATTCCATAGATAATGGATGTTTATTATAGTAATAAGAGAAAATAAATAATTTCACTTTATAATTTTTATAAGATAATTAATGGAAGATAATAGTTGATTACAATTTTTAAGATAGATCAAGTGTCTATATTACATTATCTATTTTTTTAAACCTTCAATATGGAATAAAATTATTGTTCAAATTGTGAAAGTAGCATATTTCAAATTACAAATATTGACAAAGCAGACTCAATTAATTTGGTTTATATCATAGATTCAACATTCAAAAATAATACATGTGGTAAATTTGGTTGTGTTGTTATATCATCTAAGGATGTTAAATCTATTCAAATATAAAATTCAAATAGAATTTTAGAATCTGATTAGACGATTAGCAATATCCATACATAAGTCAAATTTATAGACAGTGTTTTTATTCAGAATAAAGCAACATATGGAGGGGCTTTGTTAATCTCATAAATTAACGCTTTAATCAATAATTGTATATTTAACTAAAATGCAGCGATATAGTCTGGAGGAGCAATTTACTATTAGTAATATGATGGTTCTAAATTACATTTATATAATTCATTAATCACACATAATAATGCAAATGTTGGAGGAGGATTATATTTGGGAAATTATTAGATGAATGATCCTAAGACTTTGAATAATTATCTTAGAAATAACAAAGCTAAAAGTTTTGGAGATAATATGGCTGACAATCCATCCTAATTAACTGTTTAGATAGGAAATTAATTACTTTTAACAAAGAGAATAATTAACAATAATGAATAAATTGTTGACTAAGTCATCTAAAGTAATTACACAATAGGTTCAAATGTTTACAAATATATAATGGTTCCTAGTGGATAAATCGTGTCTCTCTATAACTTTTTTGATGAAAATACTTAAAGTTTTATCAGCTACAATTTTAGTTTAAGAGTAATCCCTTTAAACAAATAATATGATAGAATTAAAAACCTTACCGGAACTGAGTGTTCTCTAAAAAGTCGTTAAATCTTAGATAAAAAATAAGAAACTTATAATTCAAGCCTAATAAATTTGAAGACTGTAATTTTTAATGAAACTTCATAAGATTATAATTTAGATTCCCTTATTGTTTATTTCAATCCAGATTTAAATTATATAGGATATTTACAACTAGAAATTTAATGTAATTCAATATCTATTGGCTTGTATTCATAAGAATCTCCATATTAATTAACTTCTTTTCAAACTAACTATTCCCTTATATTTGACTTGTAAACATTCCCATGTTAAAGAGGAGAGTACAAAAAGCCAGATGGAACTTGTGTTTTATGTGATTCTCAATTCGATTAGTATAATATATAGGCAGGAGAATAGTGTTTAATAAAAAACCCATTTACTATGGATGAAGTTAATGCAGCAAGAGTCAAATTAAAACCATTCTATTGGAGACCATATGAATACAGTCATGCTATCGAATACTGTTAAAATATGCCTGAGAATTGTATAGGTGGTTGGAATCCTGGGAATAATCTGTGTGTAAATGCTCATGTTGGTGCCCTTTGTGAATAGTGTGATATCTATAATGTAAGAGGGAATGGATAATATTCTTTAAGTTCATTATACAAATGTGGAAGTTGTGATAATATAGGTGATAACACCATTAAAATTGCTCTGATTAGTCTTTGGACTATGATTTCTATATTAATTTCTGTGAAAGGCACTGTTGAAACTGCAAATAAAATAGACTTTGATAATAAATTATCAAAATTTAAGATCTTTGCTAAAAATCCAAAGGAAGGTTTTGGTGGAGTATTAATTAAAGTGTTGACCAATTATCTTCAAATTGTTGGAGCTATATCAACATTTTAATTGTAATTACCAAGTGTTTTGTAATCAAGTATTCGTTCTGTTAGCAATCCTGTAGAATCAATGAGTTTCTCATTAGATTGTTTCTTGATTACCATATCAAACATTGATATCATTTACTTTAGAATGATCTGGGCTCTCATCATGCCCATTATATATATTATCAGCTTTTTATCTTTATACACTATATGGATTCTGATTAGTCCGACAAAAGCTAACAAGAGTGCCATAACAACAAGTGCTATATATCTATTCACATATTTATAACCTACTCTATTGGGAGGATTCATCTCGTTATTGTCTTTTAGGAAGATTTCAGATATCTATTGGATTCAAGGAAATGTTGCTTATAGATATGATACTTAATCCCATTTTAATTGGATGATAACTTTTATTTTACCTTCTACTCTTTGTCTTGCTTTAGTGATTCCTATTTATATGTTTTTGAGTCTTTATTAAAAGAGAAATAAATTGACAGATAGTGAGACCAGAAAGATTTGGGGTTACTTGTATAACGAATATTCAGAAAAAGCTTACTTTTGGGAGATCGTCAAAATTCTTGAAAAAGGATTCATGATCGTCTTTTTAACCTTTTATGAGGATTTAATCATTATTAAGGCAGCTATGATCTTTATTATAACATTCCTATATTCAATATTGACCAAGAAATTTAAACCTTATAAATTATCATATCTGAACCTAATTGATGAAATTAGCACACTAGTTTGTGAAACTTCAATTGTACTTGGTATGACTATTTATTCAGCTTCATCTTCTGATAATCAAGAGATTATATGGCCTTTCTATATCATTTTGATAAGCATTAATTCTATCTTTATCATCATCATTCTTTGGGAAATTATACTAGCCTAATTAGAAGATTAATAAGAGAATATTGATAAGATTAGAGAAAAGATAAATAAGAAATTTCCAAATTTATAATAAAAGAATTGGTTCTTTCGTAGATTACTTATTAATAGGGGAGAATAGTAAAAAAGAGTAAGAGATCGATTTTAAAAGATTAGATAATATCTTATGGAAATAGTCAGGGCTAATCCTGGAAGATATAAATAGCCAAGTATTTAAATGTTTGAGAGCATTTTTAATGAAAAAAAAAAAGATTAAAATGTATATTATTTTAATATTTTAGGAATCACCATCAGATATAGGCAATAGAGAAATAAAAAATAATCTTAATAGTATTAGTAAGACGAAGGTAAACCCAGAAATTTTCATTGTAGAAAAAATAGAAAAAGCAAATGAATACGATTCTAAAAATAGAATTGAAAAAAATTATAATTAATGAGATAATGATATAATGTAATTTAATTGAAATTCGGCCCATTCTTAATAATTTTAATTAATATTATTATCTATGATACTTTTGTTAATTGAGTTATCAATTTTGCCAATAATTTTGTCATACATTGATCTAGATACAAGCTTTACTAATCATAGATTTGCAGCTGCTGATATCAATGGTAAGAAGAATAATATCTAGGTTGGCAATTCGGTTACGAACTGAACAATGATGATGCAGTTTCAGTTAAAGGATTAACTTAGGATAAAAATATTGACTTAGAAAGAAGCGAATGTTTAACTAATGATGGATAGTGCACTGATCCAAATGCCATTTAATATGTCGGTTTAGGAATTGTAGGATATACGGGAGGGTCTGTTAAGGTTTTTGAGAATTTACCTCCCCATTGTCAAATTTATTTTTCTGCTGAAATGGCTGTGTATAAAAAATGATATATCATATGTTAGAAAAGGGTTGGAAATTTCAATCGGGAAAATTATTGTTATGATAGACTCTTTACCTGTTGTTATCTATACAATAAATCCATAAAATGATGGTTTATTTTATGAAGCAACTACAATATAAGGAATTTACTCTCATTATTAGCCGTTTTTACTTTTTAGCTTTCATGCTGGTTTTGGAAGTTATGAAAAATCTATGGGAATTCGAAACATCAACATTAAATATACACCTTGTCCTGCTGGATGCTTAATTTGTTCCATAACAGAAGTTTAACTCTAATGTTCTTAATGGGTTCTGAATTATGAAGGAATGCGTCTCAATTCTTAGCTTCTTAGTAATGATGGTTGGTAAATAACTAAGTCGAAAGAAATATTTAAGATGTTAACTTAAGATTTAAATACAATATCCTATTCATTTTGCTTATCATCTGGATTAGGTCCTTTTGGATAAGATTAAGATGTCATAAAGACTTTATTTTTGGATCCACATTATGAAGTGAGATTTAATTTCTACATAATAACATTGTTAACTCAATTAAGACTTTAACCAGTGGTTGTAGTTCGAATAGATGGACTTGAAGTTTATTAGTTCAATTTTTAAAATCCAGAGTTTCTGATTAACTTCTGTTAATGGGAATCCTATCAACGTTCTGTTAGATAATAATAAAAAGCAATAAAAAAAGTAGATTTTACCTTAAAAAACACCAACCGTAAGATCACTTTTTCACTTAGAATGTAAACCATTACTTTACCAATAATTATTGACTAATTTATTTTAAAAGATTTTTAAGTTTATATTAAAAAATGTTATTAAGAACCTAACTTTAATTGTGATGAATGTGTAGGTCCTGAAAAGAAAGATTGCATATAGAGGGCTAAAATAGTCAATTTTTAATAGATTGCTGCTCTAGATTTGACAGCAGGTCATGGATGGTAAGTTATATTACCAGAATCTGGTGGTATTTAAACTTGCAATAGTAGAAATTATTTTGGTTTGGATTAAACTAAAGTTATGAATTCATACATTTAAAAGTTTTTTACTATTAATGATCCTCATACAGATATTGAGATATCTTTTATCATTTAAAAAATAGATAAATATACATCTGAAAATTTTCAAATTTATTTAGATGAAGTTCTTATTGATGAAATACAATTTTCAACTATTGATTATCAATATAGTTATTGTGGTTCTGAACTTGATGACGATGGTTAAATGCTTTATACTAAGAAGATTGCACATTCCCGTACATTATCTCTCATTTAAATCAAATCAACCTAAACAACAGCTGATGGTATTAATTTCATTAAATTTAGGTGTTTTTGGAATATACAATTTCAAACTCAAAATAAAAAATGGAAAGGAATCCAAAGATTTATTCGATGATTTATCCATTAACCCTAATTTTGCTTCAAATCAATGGAATCAGTGGATGATTACTTAATTTTCTAATGACCTTAATTAATATTTTTGTGATAGTTCTGTTACATTAATAGGAAAACTATAGCCAGAAATGTAAATAAGAAGATTTATCTAAAATATTGTTATTCATACTTAAATAAGGATTCAATTTACTATTTATTTATTCACAAGTAGTTTTAATGATAAAAGTTTAAGTCTAATCCTTAATAATTAAACTGTTTGGGATTAAAATATTGGTTGGTATACTTAAAAAGCTTGTGATGACAATTTAGATACGTTTGTTGTTAAAGAAGATATAATATTAGATCATGATTTAGATTATGCTTTCTTAATTTGGAGTAGTAATGTATAAGATCTAAGTGCATCATGGGGAATTGCAGACTTTAAATTATATATTTCATGAATTTGTAATTAAGTAGTAAATGTCATTAATAATTTCATTTTTTGCTTATTGAATATAAATTAGATTTAAGATGGGCTGAAGAACTAGACCCTCTTTTTATTTCCATAGGTCTCCAAGATGCCTATTAATGGAGTGAACTTTACTGATGAAGTGAACTCTATCCTTTCTTTTGAAAATTCAAATTTGACAGTATATTTAAAATCTAATAAAAATTGATATTGTTTGATATGTACTTTATTTTTATCGAATGCAGGTCTGTCTGATAAAATTGATGTATATGGTGTTTGTTTATCCTAATCTCTATTTTATGGTTTATCTTTGATTAAATTCTAAAAAGACTTGCGAAGTAATGAAAGGGGCATAACATTTTATGGAGTTAAAGATTATTTTTTAGTAAATTTCATTTATTTTTCAATATCTTATAAATTTAATTTTAAATTCTTTTTTTTATTAATTATTTTATTATTATTATTATTATTATTATTATTATTATTATTATTATTATTATTATTATTATTATTATTATTATTATTATTATTATTATTATTATTATTATTATTATTATTATTATTATTATTATTATTATTATTATTATTATTATTATTATTATTATTATTATTATTATTATTATTATTATTATTATTATTATTATTATTATTATTATTATTATTATTATTATTATTATTATTATTATTATTATTATTATTATTATTATTATTATTATTATTATTATTATTATTATTATTATTATTATTATTATTATTATTATTATTATTATTATTATTATTATTATTATTATTATTATTATTATTATTATTATTATTATTATTATTATTATTATTATTATTATTATTATTATTATTATTATTATTATTATTATTATTATTATTATTATTATTATTATTATTATTATTATTATTATTATTATTATTATTATTATTATTATTATTATTATTATTATTATTATTATTATTATTATTATTATTATTATTATTATTATTATTATTATTATTATTATTATTATTATTATTATTATTATTATTATTATTATTATTATTATTTGAATTAATATTTTAATTATTATTACTTTACCTTCTTAATTATAATAATTTTAAGTCAATAATATGATCACTTTAAACTCTTAATTTTGGTTTGAATTAAAATACATCTTTTAATTAATCATTAACAAAATAAAAAAAATCAAAGAGATCATCACAACTATTTAATTCTCCAGCATCATTCTATTAATTTAAATGGCTAACATCCATTTGTAAAAATTCTTAATGAATATTAGTGTCTTTCAAATTAAAAGATATAGGCATTTTTTTAATAGATTGAGTCCTAATAGCAGACCAATCAATAGTAATAAACCAAGGATTTTTTTTTAGAGTATGAAAATCATGAATTCTCTTATTATAATCTTTCTCCAACAAATTCTAAAGTAGAGATAAAACATCAGAATTTAATTCATCTGAAAATGTTATTTCTTCATTTTGGATTTTATAGAAGATCTCTTCTGTATTTTAAGAATAATGAGGAGGTAAACCAAGAAGTAATTCATAAAGTAAGCAACCCAAAGTATAGAAATCAGCTGGATAAGAATACCCTTATCTATTAACTACTTCAGGTGGCATATATTCAGGAGATCCACAAAAACTATTTGCAAGTTGATCATCTTTCAAATCAAGTTTAGAGAGTCCAAAATCAGTGAGTTTTATATGACCTTTAATATCAATTAAGATATTTTCAGGCTAATTTAATAATGAGATATGTGTACTTTAAGATCTCGATATAAGATATTATGTTGATGTAAGTCTTCTAATGCACAAATAACTTCACTAATATATAATCTTGCTTCTTCATCTGTGAAATGATAATGTTGAAGATGATAAAACATTTCACCTCCAGGTAAATATTCCATTAGAAAACATAAGTGATCTTTAATTGCAAAGGTTGCATACAATGGGATTACAAATTTAGATTAATTCATAACTTATGATAAGATTTTCTTTTCTCTTAATACTTACTCTAAACGTCTACAATCGGTTATGTATTATTTCTTTATCATTTTAAGTGCAAACAATCTACCAGATATGTAATGTCTAACCAAATAAACTTCAGAAGTTCCTCCTTTTCCTATACAATTTTCAAATTTGAAATCTCTTAATGTCAATGTTGATTTAGTTTATGGTTTTCCATAGACTGCAATTAAATTTTCTTATTTAATCTTATCAATAGATAGTTAGGCTCATTTATCATTGGAATGCTTACCTCTTTCATTGGGGATTGACAATAGGTAATCTATGGTGATAGAGTGAGATGCCGTTCTTAATGCCACAATCTATTATGCATTAGGTATTTCTGGATGTTAATGAAGCTATTAAATAAAAATAATATATTCACTTTGTTCATCAATTCAGCTATATTTCTATCTATAGAAATCTCAATGCTCACTTGTTTATGTTAACAAGTAACAACAACAATGATATTTTTTTAAGATAGATTTCGTTTATGATCTAACATATTTGAACAATCAAAATATAATTAATAGTATTTGTTTAAGTGAAATTCAAATTAATGATAAGCTAATTAACAATATTCACAAATCAATTTTCACAAAATCAGGTAATGATTCTCCTAAATTTTTGAATTTAAGATCTCCACTAATCAATTTTTCTAAAGTTCTCTCTATAATAATTATAATTTAATCAATTTACATATTGCTTCAAATGTCATTTCACCATCATGAATTGCAAATCTCTTTCTTTTACTTGGATTCAATAAAACTATTTTTGGTTCACCTTAGAATTCTAATGCTTAACCCCACTATAATAATTATAACTTAATAGAATTACTTTTGATTCTGTCTTAACATCTAACCACATAAATTTGAAAACTGTTCCTCTATTAATATGTCTCTCATATTATTAATTCAATTTCTTTAATTCATCTACTAATTCATTATTACTATAAAATATATTAATATAAATTACGGTTTATCTCCATTATTCATTAAAATTACACAAATAACACCTTCAACTTTTAAGCAAATATCATTTGCAGATCTTTAATGTAATTATGGAACAACTTGCATCATCCATTCTTTTGTTGCAGCACTATCAGCAGATGATCCTCCTCCTGGTACAAATACTTCACTGTGAACATTCAAGAAATCAAACATAGGTTTAAATTTATATTCTCCTTTATATGCATATGGTTTTTTTTCATTAGCTTTTATAAGTAATAATTAAGGGAAAGCTTTGATATTGTATCTATCTAATAATGCCTTTTCTGATGATCTCACTATACCAAATGATAATTTTTTCTATTTAACATTTTCTATATGTACATACCTCAAATTCTACACTCAATCCTTTATAAACTAGTGGGAATCCTTTCTTTTCACTAAATAATACTACTTTAGGAACTGTAGGATTTTCATTAATAAATGTATTGATGTTAGTTTCAGTAATCTCAATAACATTATTATGGATATATTTTGTAGCCAATTTTAAGATTCCATCAATTTCAAGAGGACCTTCATAATCAACTGCAGGAACAGGATATGGAGGATATACTCTAAATGTAGGAAATTTTGAGACACTCTCTTTCTAACAAATCTTTTCAGCTTCATCACAATCACAAGATGCTATTCTGAAAATTCCTTTATATTCATTTGTAAATTCATCATATTTTGATGCAAATGATCTACTTTCACCATCTACCAATAAATTCGCATATTTACCTGAATATTTATAGAAATGAACTATAGTGACATATTTAGTTGTTTGTCTTATCTTATTAATTTATTTTTCAAAATTTATTTCATTTACAGGTGTAACATATGACTTTTTTACATCATACAACTATTTTGCTAATGTGAAGGAGAATAAGATGACAACCAATATGCTTGTCTTCATTAATTTTTTTATTTTATTAATTCCACGTAAGAATATAATTTTTAATCTCAAAAGAACATTCTATCAGAAAATTTTGTATAATAAATACTAAATATTATATTTATAATTTTACACTATCAGTAATTCTATATAATTGTATTTATAACCATAATTGATTATCCTTCTAATTAATCTAATCAAAATTAAACTATATGTAAACATATCTATTTGTATCAAATATTATTCATTTCTAAAATTATATAGCCATATGAATCTATCTCTAAGTTATAATAAATATTTTAGTTATTTAATTCCATTTAACAATATAGATTTTTATATTGGATTAAGAGATAAGATAAAAATGAAATGTGAATGCAATAATTTTTATTAAGAAAATGAAATTAAATGAAATTAGAATGTCAAATACATATTGATAATCTTGTATTATTTTGAATTAGATCAATTCCAGTTAATTCAATTTATAGTTATTAATAAAATGAATAAATCATTGCTTCAGTCACCAATCAAACAATAACATCGAAAGATTGTTTCTTAACAGTAAAGTAGCAGACCATTAAGATTCTTTGATAAATTTTCATTGTTCACCAAACATAGAATACCATTGATTGAGGAGACTCCATAAAGAAGTGAACGATAATCAAGAAGATTGAATAAGTACTTTTCAGCAACGATGAGAAATTCTAGCTGCAATTGTATCAATTGTGGTAAGAACAATTCATTTATACAAAAGACTTTTCAATTATTTACCTTTGAAAGCAAGTAAATTGAATTAATTTTATATACAACTTAGCTTTAATAGAAGAAAGAGACTATACAAAAAGTTCAGAAAGTATGTTCATTGTGTTCAATTCATTATTAGATATAAGATTGTCTAAAAAATAAGAGATAGATAAAGAAATAAAATGAAGAAAGCAATCAATTAGAATGTTCATATACATAAACCTTCTGCTGTTGCCAATTTACTTGCTGAAGGAATTAAGTAATTGTTTTTAGTTGGAGTAAAGGTAATTGAAACAATAACACCATGTTGAAGTTTTGAATGAACATGATTCAGATGAAGAGTTTTATCATTTTAAACCCAAGATACTTTTGAATCGTAAGTCCTTAGCACATTTCTTATCTTCTCCAAAGGGATAAAAAAAATTGGAAAGAGTCTACTATGTGAAATAAGCTAATAGACCTATTAGTTAATATATTGCAAATCGTTCAAAACCATCTACTACCCAATGTTCTCCAAAATCTATCTTGCCTTAATTGAGTTCATTGTATGATTTCAAAAACTCAATCTCGGTCAGACATATGAAAAAATTCTGATTACAATAATTATTTTTTTAATAATACCCCTAGAATAGTTTCTATAAAAATTTAAATATTAAAAATAATACATGAAAACATATATTGATTAATCTTAACATAGAACTTTAGATAGTAATTTTGATTTAAAATCATTCCGTTCTCAAGTTAAAGACAGATGGAATTTGAGTTTAACTAGCGATTTAAATTAATCAACTTTTAATTCTGCAAAGTAAGAATTACATAATATGAAAGAAAAGAGAATCGTTAAGGTGTACCATCATTTGACAATTTATAAGCAAGAATTAGAGATTTGTCTTAATCGCGTTTGACAACTTCAAATTATAATTCTAACGATAATTTTACTCCCTAAAAGAATCTTTATTCTCCTCATAAAGCATATGGGATGAGATAAATGTAATCAGTATTAAGCAAATATATTAAGAATTTAAAACAATTTAGGTTAAAATGTAATGATCAATACAAATGAAAAACAATCTCAAAATTCGAAATCTCAATCATCACAAAAAAAGATATTTTAATAAAAATCAAATGATACTCTATAAATTTCATTAAAAGGATCATTCAAAAAATAAGGAAGACTTTTGTCTGATGCAGTACAAATAAATGAAATTGTAGCATTGCGAAATAAGATTGAATCATCATTAGTTAGTAGATCATAATTAACTTCGACGTATATAATAATATTAAATATATATAGTTATATAAGTGAGTTAGTAAAATTAGCTTAAGCTATCACTACATCTCTAAAATAAGAATGAGTAATATAAATTACATATGGATTCTTTTCATATGAAAATAATATATATATATCTATAACAATATAGGGAATATTAAATCTTATCATATCTCGTATTCTTCCCAAGAGTTTTCTTCTTCAAGAATTTCTTCAACTGGTCTTGGATCCTCATAAAACAATTCTTCCCATGTCATTGCATATCTATATTTATCTATACAAAAATGAATCTATTTCTTATACCTTTCAATGCATCTTGTAATAATTTCTTTCTGCTTCTCTCCAATGTTGGTTTGTACCAAACTCCATATCCCCAATTTCTATATAGCTTTTATATAAGAATTACACCTCTTATTGACTTCTGCTTATGCTACAAGTTCAGCCTCTGTAAATTATCTTTATTTATAATAAGCCCATTTTCCAAAGAAATAATATCTGCCTCCATAGAATGCTGTAAATGCAAATGCTCCCAAAACAACAAACTTTATGATATTTTAACAAAAATACAGGTCTGATTCTTCTTAACCACCATGCATTGGTTTCCCAGACAAAGTTTGTCCACTAATAAACCATTTTTATATTAATAATAATATATTATCATCTATGTCCTTTTGGTGGTAATTATTATGCTGATCTTATTGGTCTCATTGAATTAGATTATTATGATTAATTATCCAACTATTTCATTGATTTTTGAATTTGCTTATTCAATCTCAAATTTAATTCTTAATCTTCTTAACTATCCTCGGCTTCTTCATCATATAAATTGTGTTATTCATAAAATTCTCTATCTTCCTTACTAATTTTCTTATTCTATTTCTTCTCTTCAAATAACAACTCCCCTATATCCTACTCCTCTAATGTATAATGCTACAATAATTATTGTTCATCAAATTATCTCATTGTATTTGAGTATTTTTTAGCTGATTATGGTAATTTTGGTAATACTTATTGAGTATTTGAACCATATTAAGGAGCTGCTGATTAAATATCTCTTTTTTTTGCATCAATTTTAGGTTTAACTGCTTTATATTTAGTAGTTTCCTTATATTTATTGAAATCTATCATTTGATTTAATTCATGTTTTGTACATTTTGGAGAGTAAGCTTCTATTTCTTTTACTTACTCTTCAAATGTATTATGCATATTAACATACTAAGGATCAAATATTTCCATCCATTCAGGAGGAAAGGGATTGCAATTATAATAATTGTCATCTGGAAAGTATACATTATTATATTTATATAGATTCAATTTACCAGTATTATATTAACCATCACAAAACTAATGTTATAAACAATAAGTACCAATCCAACTTATAGATTCAATATGCAATAATGACCATTTGCAAAAAATAGTAAAACTTAAGCTCTATGTCTTTGACCTCCCATTTATGAATTTTTAAAGTGATGTATAGTCTTAGTAGATCCTTCTGCAACATAATTAACCCATTCTGAACCTTAACATAATCTCATTTTAATTTCTGTTTCTGATAAGAACTTTTCTATATCTGTAGTTTCACTAAAAAAGTAATGTACTCTTATAACATTCAATTTTAAATTTTCATCATTAATTTATGCAAATTAATCATCTACTTATCCTTCTGGTGCATCAATAGAATCTGATCTTTCAATACCACTAAATCTAAGTTATTTTTATTATGATTATGATGTTTATTATTTATTTGATTTTAAAGTTTAATAATTATCATCTTTAATGATATGTGTTTTAAATGATGATTTTGATTGATGTAAACGATATTGTAATACAATATTCTTTAGATCTCCAACAGGATTACCATTTAAATCTATCAATCTCTTACCTTATAAATCAACCATTTCTAAATAAAAGAGTAATCTCCATTAATATAACTATTCATTCAATAAAGCTGGTCTATGTTTTGGTTTACTATCCATAGGAACTCTTATGATAGCATCTCCTAATGGAATGTTTTAAGCTATGGCAAATTTCTATTCAATTTCAACTAATTCATGTTCTCCAACAATTAACATATAACATACATCACATACTCTACAAGGTCTGGTAGATAAATGAGATACTTTTATATTTGTCAATTATTTATTTCTCTTTTTTAAATGTTAAACTAATTCCCATAATAATTTATAAGTTAGTGTTTTACTAGCATCATCTTTCTTAAATATGATGCCACACAATTTACAATAAACTGAACAAGTCAATTAATCAAGTGTTTTCTTTCCTTATCCTACTCCTTGAATTTCACTCATAGAAATAGCATTTTCCATTATTAATTATTTACAATTAAATAACCAGATTCTACCCTCTGGATCTTATAGAAAATCAAAGACACCTGTTTTAATTCTAACAGGATAATTCTTTTCTAAATAAGAGACAATCTAATCACAAACTTTCTCATATTCATATAATCCCACTCCCTTTATTTATTAAATAGTAAATGAATTTTATTGTTCTGTATTAATTGTAGTTTTATTGGTTATTGATTTTTTGGGATTTGGATCATATAATTCCATTACATTCATTATTCGATAACCATAATTAGCATGAGATGATTTTGAATTCTTAGTATAGAAAACAAGTCGAACTATTGTAGCTTTCATTACTCTTGATATAACAAATCGCTATTCTAATTTATTGTTATCTAATTAAACTTTTCTCTCTTTTTATTATCTGAATGTATATACAGCTTTAGACATATTCCAATCCTATCCAGTTTGACCTCTACTTATGATATATGGATTATCCTAATTCTCAAATACATTAGTTTTCTTTTCAAATCTATCATCTTTTACATGACGTTTCAAATATTCTTCATGATATTAATGAACCTAATTTAATTGATTAATACTTTATTCTCAAAATCCTAATATCCTATATCTGTTTTTCTCATTAATTATCCTGTAATTGGATCTGTATACATTAAAATGTATGTTTATTCAAAACACATTATACATTCAGGTATGTTGACTCTTATTTATTCTGTTGGTAATTTTCCTAAAGCTAAAGCCTTATAGAAAAATATTCCTATAAAAGGTTAATGAATTCAAATTAACCTGGTTTGATTGGCCATTTTTGATAATAATCATCATTAGGAGGATTGAATAGAATTTTATTCAAAATCTATTACCAATGTCTCTCCTTTTTCTCAGCTTCAGTTTCTATTTTTGGAGGACTCAATTAAACTGGCTTCTTTTGGGTGATTTAGGCCTCTGTTAATAAAAATGTATCAGCCATTTTATATTATAATTTAAATATTTCATCTCTATATTTTATATAAATTTTATAATAAATTATCATTCATTCTTAACTCTAAATTATCTTTCATATTATGATATCATTCTTGTATATTTTTATACTTTTTTCCTTCTCTAATCATTCTTTATAGAATAAATTCTCTAATTTTGAATACGTAATTTGAGTCATAGTCAACACTTACTTACATAAATGTATGCTTGTTCATAATGTAATTAAAGTTCAAATTTAATTAAATCAGTATTCTTGTTATTAACTAAATAGGGAACTTTGGTAAATTTATTATATCAAACAATAATAATGATTTCATAGTAACACATTCTGTTGAGTGATATTAGTCAATTAGGATTGCTAGTTTACGTTAATTAGGGTATGTATTTTGATATGAAAGTAGCCAACTCATTTTTAATGCTATGTCTTCAAAGTATTCTTTATTCAAGTGGAATAATCATCTCGCTTTTATGTTATTTTTTAAAAAAGGATACATGGAGTAAAAAATTAGAAGTCATAGGCATAATATTGAAGATCATCTCATTATGGATTGCATAATAAGAAAGTTAAGAATTTATGTTTTGCACATTAATTTAAAGCTAATTGTTTTTTAAATCTATTGACTTAATAAAAGAACGATAATAGTCAATAATGATTGTGTTTTAAATGGCATTCAATATATTTCAAATTAGGGGAATCATAAATGACATTACTATAACATCCATAAATTTAGTCCATGTTATTATTTTTATTGTATGGTTATACAGGGTGTAAAAACAAAATATAATAATAGATTAGAAAGTTAAATTATAAGAAGGAAATGTTATTATAGAAATTGATGAATGTAGAGATTATTTAAAATAACAATAGAAATTTATTTAAACTTCTTCAACGAAAAGAGTGATTCTGCCTCAAAATTCTTTAATATTCAATTAAGATTTTGAATTAATAGATTGTTAAATAGAATTTGAAGAATTAATGAATCATAAAAGCTATTGTGATTAGGCAATTTAAATTATGTTAAGTTTAAGATTAAATTATATTTTCGAGAATCAATCTAAGTCTTGTGAATTAAAATAATTAATGGAATAATTATCATTAGATTAAAGGATTTTAGGAATGATTGAAAAAAATGATTATATAAAATATGAAAATCATCTTGTCCTACTTAGTTGTTAATTATATGAAGATATTAAATGTTATTAAATTCAATTAGAATAGGTGCCATTTAAACATAAGTAAATATAAATGGAAGAATCTATGGAAGTAGATATGTGTAGATCATTGTCTCATGAATTAGGAACTAATTTAAATAGTATAATAACATTTACAACTATGGCTTTAGATGATAATAAAGTAGATAAATATACAAAAATGAAATTTTTAGATCCTATATGGATTAATTGTGAGTAATTAAGTTTGATAGTTGGTTCTATAAGAGATTATAATTTAATAAATTTATAATAATTTTCATTAAAATTAGAAGAATTAGATGTTGAATAAGAAATTAAATTTATGGTATCTTTATTTTCAGAAAGCATTGATAGTAAATAAATAAAAGTAGATTATAAATTTGATTTATAATGTTATTCATTAGTGGCTGATAAAACAAGATTTAGATAAGTTTTATTTTAATTATTATAAAATGCTATTAAATATACATTTGAATCATCTATTACTATTGCAATAATTAATGATAATATAGAGTGTAAAGTATTAATAACAGATGATGGTGTTGGAATGGTAATTATTTAATAAATTTATTAGAGTGAAGATGAAGCTAATAATTTAAATTCGTTATTAAGATCCAATAAATTTATTCGAGTTTCAGAACAATCTGTAGGTATAGGATTAGGTTTAGGAATTTCAAATCAATTAGTTAAGAAAATGGGTAATCAAGATAATTAGATTGAATTAAAGAGAATGTCTAAAGGATGTTAATTTAGTTTTGCTATAAAAAATCATTATTTTGAATTAACAAAAGAATTTACAAGAAAAAAGTCATCTCGATTATCTAATAGAAGTAATTAAACAATAAGATTTATATCTGCAAATTCATATTATGAAGATTAGATTAAAGATCCATCTTATGGTTTAAAAGGAAGTATTGTTTAAAATTAATCAAAATTGTATGTATTTCCATCAACAAAATAAATAAGTTTAAGTCATGATATAAAGAGTTAAAAAGAAGAAGATAGTATATTTTCAATTCATCCTCCAATATTAAGTCCAAAATTTTAATAATCTATAATATAATGTAGTTTAAAAAGTGAATGTTGTTCAAGAGTATTAATAGTAGATGATGAATATTTTAACATATAATGTTTAAAATTACTAATGTCTAAATATTAATCAAAATGTGATTCTGCATATAATGGAAGTGAAGCAATAAATTAAGTTTTAAATAAGAAAAATAATATTTGTAAAATTTGTGGAAATAAATACTATAGTTTGATATTTTTAGATATCAATATGCCAATTATGGATGGATTTAATACTGTTAAAGAATTAAAGAAAATGATGAGTGAATAAATTATTAATAAAGCCTTTTGTATAGCAAATACAGGATTTTGTGATTTAGAAACTAAACTTAAGAGTTATGAATCAGGAATGGATTATTATTTAACTAAACCATTAGATTAAAATGAATTGAATTCGATATTAAATGATATATTTCCTATGATTGACTACTGATTATAATGAATATGTACTATAATTAATTTAATTGATATGTGTATTAGGGATGTTAATATGAAAAAAAATTAAATCATTTTAAATAAATTATTAAAAAATAAATATTCTTATGCCATCAAAGAGAAGAAATAATGGTCGTTCCAAGAAAAATAGAGGACATGTCAAACCAGTTACATGCTCTAATTGTTGTAGATTAGTTGGCAAAGATAAAGCCATCAAAAGATTTACAGTCAGAGACATTGTTGATGCATCATCAAAAAAGGATATCTTAGAAGCATCTGCTTATGATACCAAATAATAATAGTCAATTCCAAAATTATTTGACAAACTTTAAGTAGTGTTGTTTAAATTAATCAGAATAGTATTGCATATCATGTGCTATCCATGCTCGTATTGTGAGAGTCAGATCCTCTGAAGATAGAAAAATTCGTGTCATTGAAAGAAAACGACCTGTTTAATAAACAACTTAAAAAAAGGATGCCCCCAAAGTTTAAGCTCCAGTCGCAGCTCAATGATATATATATTACAAACATACATTAATAAATTTAAATTTCCTATTCAATCAAGGCATTTCTAAGTATGTGAGTATAAATAATTTAAAAAAAAATTAATATCTTCAAAAAATGACACATAGTTATGGTTTGAAAAAAGGTACAAGAAGCAAATTTGCTAAACCATTCAGAGGACATGGAAACATTAGTATTCGTAAAACACTCTAAACATTCAAAAGAGGTATATATACTATCATCAATCTTTAGGTGATTTTGTCGATATTTTGGTTGATGGTGCATAACATAAGGGTGTCCCCTTCTAATATTATCATGGACGTACTGCTAGAGTTTTCAATGTCAATCCAAGAGGAATAGGTGTCTCATTATAAAGAAGAGTCAGAGGTAGATATGTAGAAAAGAGATTCCATGTCAGAGCTGATCATTTGAGACCATCTAAATGCAGAGAAGAATTTGTTAAAAGAGTTTAAGAAAATGATAAAAAGAAAACAGAAGCCAATAAATAAAAAAAACATATTTCAACCAAAAGATAACCAGTCCTCCCAAGAAATGCTGAAGTCGTCAAACCAACAGCTACAGTCTTTTAACATCCAAAAGCATTTGTAGAAATTATTTGAAATATAATACAATAAGTATATCTATACATCAATATTTTAATATTAATTATTAAATGATTAAAAATGTTCTTAATGATAAATATAGTATAAAAATATCTATTCCAATTATTTGTAATCATTCTTTCCTTCTCTATAATACTTAATTATTAATTTTATCCATATTCAACTATTAAATTTCATTATATATTACATTAATAATATTTATAATATTTTATATATGTAATCCAAAGACTTTTAATTACAATTAGATGTTTAAGCTTTAAGAGAATCATAAATACAACTTGATAATATTATCAATCAAATTTCAAAATAAAAACAATCACAATCATTAAAATTAAATTCACTTTCAACATCCAATTTTGAATTGAATAAAACCTTATAATAATTCAATATTTCTAATTCCCCAATTAAAGAATCTGATAATAATAGTAAATTATCCAATTCAAAAGATTTTGAATAAGATAAGTTGAAAAATTAGAAGGTTGATGAATTAAAAAAGAAAGGGAACGATTACTATTGTAATGCTAATTATTAATAAGCTATTGTAATGTATACTGAGGCACTTTAATTAATTTAAGATAATGTAGTTTTATGGCTCAATAGAGCTATTTCTTATATCAAATTAAATTAATTTCATTAAGCAATTGAAGATTGTTCAAAAGTATTGGAAATTGCCAATTAAGGAAATAATTCATTGAAAGCAAATAATGATAATTGTTTTAAAGCATATTTAAGAAGAGCATTTGCATTTTTAAAAATTAATTAATTTGCTCTTGCTCTATCAGATATTGAGTAGGCTTTGATTATAGATCCTAAGGATTTAGAGGCTGAAAAATTAAAAATAGATGTGGAAAGATAATTAAATAATGAATAACATAAATAAAATAATTAATAAGATATTAATATTGTTATTCCAAAGAAAAAAATACATGATTCAGCATTGGATTTTAAAAATGTTATTGATAATTTTTTTTTACTTAAAGAAAAATTTGATCTATTTCAAGCTTTTTAAGTAATGTAGAAGAATACTGATGAAGCAGCTGCCTATTTTTATGATAAAAAAGGAATTGAAACTTTAATATAAATAATATAATCAGATGATGAAGTCTTACATGATTAATACAACGTATTTTATCTTAAAAAATTAGATGATGGCTAGTCTTCCAGCAATGATCTTATAATGTTATTAAGAAAACAACTAAGTATACTAAGAGTAATTCATAAAATAATATAATGGAGTTGATCTATTGATACATAAAATACTTGGTTTGTTAGAAAAGGCTAATTATAAAAAGAATTCAGCAATTTACGATTGTATTAAAGATTATATTGATGCTTTAAATATAATGACAGATGAAAAAGTAAGAAATCTTATATAATCAAATCCAATTTTTGAAACTAAATTTTATTCTTAAATATTTTGTCCAATTTTGAACTTATATCAATCAGAAATGGATCTAACAGCCTCTTTACTTAGTTTAAGTGCTAATTTATCTTTTGATATAAATAGTTCTATAAGAACAGTATTTTATAACAAATTAGATGAAATCATAATTTTGATAATTTAAATATTGGAAAATGTTAAATTGAATTTAGAATCATCTAATTTATTAGTATAATTATTTAATTATTTGACAAACTTATTAATTGAAGAGTAATTTAGATAGAAATTTCTAAGTCATGATTTCAATAAAGAATTTTATATATAATTTTTCGATATTTTAAAAAATATGGATTTGTAATTTGAAGAACTTTTATAAATTTAATTAGGATTTTTAATTAATCTATTTTATAGCAATGAAATAATCCATTCTGAGTAATTGATTTAAGAATTGAGAATTCTACCTAGATATTTTGAATAATATAGTCAATCTAAAGATGCAATCATTCTAGAAAGAATAGAAATACTTCAATCATTTTTATAGATTCGAAAAGATTACTTTACTCAATTAGAAAACTAAAAACAATTAAGATGAAACTATGTTGATAATTTAATCCAATTTGATGTGTTTATAATTTATTATATAATATTATTAAAAATAGAATCATTAATAAATCTATTATGATCTAACAATTAAATCATATATATAAATAGCATCAAATCTTTTATAATGGAATACATAAAAAATAAATGATTTAGTTTTAAGGGATTAAGTTTAAATAAATAAATAAAATTATTCATCTAATTGATTTTAAAAAGAATATATAAAATACAATTTAAGATAATTATTGAGTATTTTAATATCTAATTAAAGTCATTATACACTATTTATAAGAAATTACCAATATATTTATAAATTTAATAGAAAACTATATTCTATGGTAGTTCCTGAATTGTCTCCTTATTACCCAAGTCACTTTATCAATTGTAATATCATTAAGATTGAAATAAACTACTAAGGGATTGAAAGCTAGTTAATAATTAGAATTTAAGAGTTGTAAATCATTTAATTCGATACCATAAAATAAAAGTAAATTAAAATTGAAAGTAATTCAATTTTTATAATTTACAACAGCTTTTAATTTTGAATCCTTATTAAAACATTAACTGACTTTATATATATAATCCTAAAAAGTAGAGTTCAGAACTTATCTATTTATCAAAATCATAATCTTAAGAGTGTAGATTAATTATAAAGAAATATAAAATTAATAAAAAATATGTAATTTGTTTGTAGAAACGCATTAAATATTTGTAGAGTTATTTATTTTGATTTTTATGCAATGATCTTTTTGTATAACCATTTTAGAATAATGTATTGATTATTTCTTAATAATGAAAATTGATTGGTTTGAAAAGAATAATATCTTAAAATATGTTTTATTATAGACAGAATAAATACTTGTCCTTAAGGGTGTGAGATATTATTTAAAAGACAATATTGATGATTATACTTTGATTTAATATGATCTATATAACACCAACTTACATAATAGAGAATGATGATTAAAAAAAAGAGAGAAAATGAAGAAAATTCATAAGAGATCTACTTATATGTTTTAATTCAATTTATTATTAAATTCATATTCCTTTTTTCAATATTGAAGTAGTTGGATATCTAGAGAGTTTAAGGTTTGTTCCTGTTTGTTTTTGGTAGAGAATCAAATCTTCACTCACCATAAGTGGAGGATCAGATTCTTCAAATAAGAGGACAACTTCTAATTCATTGAAACTGACTTTTCTCGATTCCTTTTTTTCAGAATTCAACCTATTGATAAAAAAGGTTTCTCTAAATTCTTTGATTTATGAAATACTAGGCTCATCTTCATAATAAACATCATCTATTGAAGTATCTGTGCTGGTGTATAAGCATTGCATAGTTTGAATATAATTATTAATATTAATAAGATTTACGGTGTAATTCTCAACAACATTAATAAATGAGATTACATCTATATATTAATTTAATTTAAATCATAATCTAAAAATATCAAATATTTATGAATGATTATTATTGAATTTTATATAATAAATTGAGTTTATCAAATTAATTAAAGTATTTATAAGTTACTAAATCCATTAAAATTCTCTCTTATTTATGTATAAGAATAAAAAGCAATTTACATAATTGTTATTAAATTTATAAAATGAGTTGTAATTTATATCAATTCTTCTTTTGATTAAACTTCCCATTTGTAATTTGAACCTTCTCCATTATAATTTTTTTATTTATTTATTATTTATTATCTCTCAGAATTGTTTCTAAAAACTTCCTATCAGAGTATTTGTTTAATAACTCTTTTGAATCATTTCCATTCTATTATTAATATTAATGCTTAAAGTTTTTCATTAAAATTAAAGTGTCCTAATACACATCTTAATTAATTGATTATATGTTAGTCACTTCACATTTCCCTACTTTTTGTGGTGAATACTATTAAGTGGCTCCAGAATTGAGTTTTTACATATTATCAACACATCTATCGTACCATTCTGAGAGATAAAGGAATATGTGATGTTTCTCCTTTGAAAAATATTTTAAATTAAGATACTTTCATCTTGAGCTTGGGATTAAGACGAAGCTTTGTTTATGCTGTCACATCTAATTGAGACTACTACGGTACCAACAAAGGATTCAGCAACACTGTGGCCTATATTGGCATACTTCATATTATATTTATGGTATATACATGACTTCATCAATTTACTTTGGAGCTTCTTAAGTTTCACTACTCTTAGTCTCCTGGTTTGGCTTGAATAATAAGCTTTAAATACCTTGGAACGCTTTCGTTTCAATAAGGCTGCCTTAAAAAAAACTAAAGTTAAAGGTGACTTACCTCTTCTAATTTTTGTTATTCTTCAATCCTCTACAAATACGATTTCAATTTTCTCTCCTCTCTACTTGATGCCTGTTCCTTTATGTAATAATTTTAATTTGATAATTATTTCCTATTCCCCAATCGATGAACCTTATATTATTTCCTCTATTGTCCCTCTTATGAAGATGGCTAGCTTAAATTATCCAGACTTTCAGGCTTAGATAGATCATTGGCACTCATTTTTTATTTTATTAAATTCAAGATTTTTAATGAATTTTTAAGGCCTTTAATATTTTTATTTCCTCAATAATCCTCAACATACTATCATTTCACACAATACACTTTTTTCTTTCAATTTTATCTATCTTTTTTATTACTAATTTATATATATTATTTATTTAATTACAAATAATTAACAATCAAATACACTATCTTCTACTCAAATCCATTTCTCTGAATATCTACATCTTTATTAAATACTATCTCTATATTATTTTCATTTTATTTATTAATAAAACATCATCTTTTTTACACAAAGACTTAAAAACAATCTAATAATAATACTAAATCAATATTAGAATCAATAATTAATTAATATAAGTATATAATCATATATAACATCAATTGATGTTATTTATTAATTCAAATATAGTCAATTTTTTAATAAATATTACTCTATCATTTTTCATATTTTTAGTAATAAACCAAATTTATTATAAAATACTTATGATGAATATTTAATAATTTTATATAATTTGATTTTTTCATTAAAAATGCTCTTAGCATTCTTTTTAGCGTTTTAGCATGTTATGGCAGATTGCATTGAAAATTCATATCTCACTTATCCAAATTAAGCTGAATGGGTTTATGTATTAATTTTCTTTATTTACAATTAGGCTGTTAAGAGAATCTCAATTAAATTAGAAGGAGAATATATAATTGGGTATGGAGATGATTATGAAGTTAAAGATAAATCAAAAATATAAATAAAATAAGTACCAGGAGGTTTAACATTTGGACCATCTAATTTTGAGATCTATTGTCCAGCTATTCATAAATTATCTAAAAAAGGTTTAGTGAAATGTGAAATCCAATTAAATATGAAAGAAATAAATGCTACTTCTGTTCCTTCTAAAGCATTGTTTGTATTTTCAGTAGAATTAGATAATGAACTTAAAGAAAATCCAGTTTTTTAGATTGAAAACAATTTTTAAATGAGATTAATGGATTTTGCTAAATAATTAGAAAATATGGCATATTATCTTGAATATGAGAATTGTGATCAAATTGTTTATTTATTGCCAGATCCATTACCAATCTCATCAGAACAAATTAATTTACTCTAAAAATACTCAAAAACGTTACCTGATGATAGTCCAACAAAGGAGATAACTGAATCAATCAAAGGTTAATTGTTTGTTGAGAATTTTTCAATCAATTCAGATTCAAATACTTAACTTTATGGTCTTGTAGCCATAATTATTGGTGTAATAATATTGATAGCAATCAGAACTTTTAAGTAAAAATACTTAGAATATTTTATAGCAAAAGGAGAGAATAATAGAAGTAAAATGATTCTTCTAAACAACCATTAAATGAATAAGAACTATCAAAGTTAACTTGATCTTATATTTAAATACATTATGATTTAATTCTTTATTATTTTGAACATTCTTCTATATCAAAATATTATTATTAATAAATAAATAATAATAATTTATGTAAGAAGCAAGATAACTATTAATATCTAAAAACTATGATGAAGCTTTTACAAAATATAATTAATTACTTAATGAGGATATAGATAATAGTAATAAATCAATATGCGCTTTGAATTGTGGGATATGTCTCATAAATAAATAAACTTATGAATAAGCTCTTCAATTCATTGAAAAATCTATAACTTATAATCCTAAATATGTCAAGGCTTATTATCGAAAAGCATAAGTTTTGATTTAATTAAAATAATATGAGGAAGCTTTATAAATAATATAAAATTTAGAACCATGTTAAGAAGTTAATGAATTAAAAGAGCTTGTTAAACTTTAATTTAGTGATCCTATGTATGTAATAGATGATTTAAAGAATTGTGCAACTGAAAAAGATGCTATCAAATTCTTTAATGAATTGTATAGTAAATAAGATTACATAAATTATGATAAATTAATGAAGGAAAATGGATTTTGTTAATAAATTCTAAGTTAAAAATTCATATTCTAATAAATGAAATATGTTTAATATTCATTTATCAAATCTTAGATGTAGTTTATACCAAAATGGTTACAGAATTATTTAATAACTAATTTTGAATTCTATTGTAAATCTGAATAAGCTTCTAAAGTTTATGAATTAATTAATATATATTGTTCCTTATTTTCTCATTTTCAAGTAAATTAGTAAGTTTTAGATTTAATTATATAAAATCAACATTTCTTTTTAGAGAAATACTTAAAATGCACTGTTTAATTATTTGTTTAAAATTAAAATGTTATTGTTGATATAGAATTCATAGAAAAAGTGGCTTATAAAGCTAAAAAATTAGAAGAGTTTGATACAAATACTGAAATGTATTATCTTATAGTTGATCTTATTATATTACTTACAAAACCTAAATTAATACACTTTGGTTATTTAAAAAGGGACACTTTTAGATATCAAGATTTATTGATTTTAATAGGAATCATAAGCAATAATTAATTGGAATCAATTAGACAAATTTATACTAATTTAGCAATAAAGTTATTAAATACAATTGAGAAAAAGTTAAATAAATTAAGATATATAAACTTAATAAATTAGATACTCATGATGACATTAAATCATTTTGAATTTAATTAAGAAATAAATGATAATTCTGTAAAATTATCTGAAAAATTATTAGATTATATATAAGAATATAGAAAAAGTAAATAGTTTAATTAAAATATAAAAAAGTTCTGTTTGTTATTTTTACTTTAAAGTAAAGGTAAATATTTGTAATTATATGAATATATTTACAAAGCAGATTGTGAAATTTTATTGGAACATATTTTTGAAGATAATAATATTGAAATTGATGAATCTATTGTATTATTACAATTTATTACATAATTTGATGATATTAAGATTATGATAATGTAAAAGAGAGAATAACTTAAAAAGATTTATAATAATATTAACAATCAATTTAAGTTGGAAGGTAAAACATCACTTTAGAAATTAAGATAATATTAAATTTTAGTAGGATACTTTAATATATTATTATAATTGAGTACAGATAGATCTGCTGAATCAAAGGAGGAATAGAAATAGAGATTTCAGATTAGTGATGAAGAATATGAATAAAATCGTAATTTTGCTAAATAGTATTAATAAGACATTTCTGAAAAATATTTTACTTATACAAATGAATACATAAAAAAAGAATAAATTATAAAATTCATAGCTCTTGAAATGAGAACAATTTAATTACTATCTTCATTTATATTTTAATATTAAGATATACTTAATAATGAAAATGTTGTATCAAAATTACTTACTTAATTTAGTTCTGATGATTAAGTTCATTAATATTTATTTGATAAATAATGTTTGAAATTAGTATCAAAATCTATTTTATCAAAGAATTAATTTGGAATTCCTTATTTATGTAAATAAATGAGAAATGCAAATCCTGAATTATTTGATTTTAAGGAAGCATAATTAATATGTGATGCATTATTTGTTTGTGCTTAGAGTGCAACTCATGAATTACTGACATTTTATGCATTATTGGGAATAGTATAATTAACTTCATTAGGTGATTTTATTGTAGATAGAATTATGGATTAAAAACAATATTTATAAATATAAAATTTCTTAATGGATGAAAATAATTATATAGTTCATGCAAGTCTTGAGATTTTTAACAATATATCTTTAAATGAAAAATTCTTAGTACTTTTAGAGGAAAACTAATTACCTACATTCCTTCAATTAGTATAAGCTTTAACTAAATAATTCTATGAAAATATTGAAGGTAAACCAGAATAGAATTAAAAAGACTTTAGTCATCCTAAGTAAATATTATAAACATTATTGGGATTGATTTCAATTATTTCATAAGTGTTGATTGTTTAAGATTATTTTAAAAAGGAATTACCTTTACTTGTAGATAGAGAGTTTTATAATAGAATCATACCTTTTTCAAATGAAAATCAAATAAAAAAAGTAATAATTTTAAATTATTGATAGATTAAGATAGTTTGGGAAGAATATGAATATAAACATCATTGAATAGCTTGATTAAATAAAAATTATAAATATAAGTATCATCAAATTTATATCATCCCATTGGAAATATTTTGGATGCTATACTCCTAAAAGTAGCCATATTTAAAGGTTTAGTCATGAAATAGTCTATACCAGCATCATAAGCCTTTTCCTTTGTTTCTAAATCACTAAAACCTGTATTTGCAATGACATAAACTTTTTTAATAATTTTATTTTGCATCATTCTTTTAATGACTCTGACTGTTTCTATTCCACCCATGATGGGCATGTTGATATCAAGGAAGATTAGTTAATACCAGCAATTTTAACATTTTGGACAAGGCTTAATTAATTTGTTATTAATTTATTCAAGTGCTTCCATTCCATTATAAGCTTTATCACTTAGAGCAGAGTATTAAGACATTAACATTTATAGAGCCATAATATTAAAGTATTCATCATCAACTATTAAAACTCTAGAACAGCAAGTACTTTTAAGTGAATAGGCTTGAATAGTATCTTAGAGTTAGGGTACAATTGATTGGATAGGTTAAAGAGTTTATTTGTTTTCATCGAATTCTTTAGAATAAACAGTTATATTGCCATCATCTAGATTAGATTATCCACTAAAAATAGATTTAAATGTGACTTAACCGAATTTAATTTATACATCATTGATATTTTCATAATATGAATTGATTGTTTAGAATTTAACAATAGTTCTATGAAATTTAGATTGAAGTTTTTCAACATTATCTTTGAATTCAGACATATTTTTAATTAAGAAATAAAAACATGAACCTGATTTACTTGAAGTAAATTGAATTTTACAATCTTCATCAGCATTCAATTTTTTAACAAGTAAATTACTTATAAATAATCCAAGACTTGATCCTATACTATTTTCTGATACTCTTAACATTATTCTTTATTCTAAGATTCTCCTTAGATTATTCTCCTCTTAATAAGCCTAATATAAATATTAAATTACTAACCATTCCTATTCCAGTATCTTTAACTATAATTTCATAGGCAAATTCTTTTTATTTAATAAAAATCTAGATAGTTCCAGTGATAGTAAAACGAACAGCATTAGAAACTAATTAAAAGATTACTTAACGAAATCGATCTCGATCATTGAAAATAGGAACTAATTATAATATTATAATACAAGATTCTGTTGGTAAAATTAATTCTATTCCTTTTTATTAACAAGTAAGTTAGAAGAAGTCTACAACAGCTTAAATTTAATCGAGAATATTAAATGTTGATAAACTCAATTAGAACTAATCAGTTTCAATTGAACTATAATCTCTAATATTAGATATTATTAAATTCAATTATTGACTATTTGTTAATATTGGTTAAATAATGTTATCTTTGATTTCTTAAGTGATTGATGATTTTTATAAGGCTATTTCTGATAAACTTTGTATACAATTAAGATTAGTTCCTAATTCATGAGATAAGGATTTACACATATCAAATATATTAGTATTAATTTCAATAGTTAATTTTGGAACAAGTTAAAAATGCATTACATAATACATTTATTTTCTACCCATTAAACAAAATACATTAATTAAATACTTCTATATATCTAAAGTATGTCCTTGCATTTGAAATGTCTAATAATAATAATCAGAATTTATCTGACTTTAAAATTAGTTTTCTAATACTTACCTTAAAGTTACAACTCCTTTTTAAGAAAGAAGAGATTATTGACTGTTGTCTAGTTTTGATATAAACTTTACTCCCTAATCTAATAACTAATTTACGATTTCTTCTTAGTCTTCTATCAATTCTCTAGATTTGCCTAATATTTTAAGATCAAAACTATAGAATTTCAATTTTAAATCTCTTCCCATAACTAGGTACTTCTCGTATGATAACCATTTACTTATTAGATTAAATATTCTTACTAATCTAGCCATGGTTCATCATCTATCAACTTCAATGAATTTATCATTGGCATACTTCTTCTTGATTCTTAAATAATTGCAAAGGTTTGTTATATCTATCCACCTCCAGTAGACACTTGAGCAAAAGATTATTGAAATTTATCTTCTTTAGACTTTCTCATTTAATATAAATTTTAGACAATCCATACAACTATTTACATTGAGTTTATGAGTTAATCATATCCAAAATTAATAAAATTGTTGAATTCAAATAAATTTAGAATCATCATAAAAACAAATGAATATTATAATGATTTTCTTTTGTAACATTCTGAAGTCATGTAAATTTAAAATAAGATTAGTAAATTTTGATTAGTAATTAATCTGACATCCATTATCCAAACAATTACTATCTTTCCTAAAGATGAAACCAAATTCAATTTGTATTTAATATTAACTTACCATTCAACATATACAAGTAATTATTGTAACATAACAAATGATCCAAATACAACGATCATAGAAATTGTTAATAACTATCCTATTCCATCATTAAATGATTAAAATAGCAAGATTGAAATCATAGCCAAATCCATCAAGATGAATAAGAATGTATTCACAATCACTATTTTTTTATATTCCATTTAATTAAATTAATAATATCATTTTAATCTTCTTCTACTGAGAATCTTATCCATCATTGATTTGTCTTCATCTTATAAAGTACATAATATTAATGGTTCCATATTAAAGTAATTATCATTTTTACGTCTAATAAATAATATTTATAATATTACCCTCCTGTTCTCTTTCCCAAAACTGTAGCTAAATCTCTAAACATCTCTTATAAACAATTACGTCTCTTTTCTAATATTGAATATTTATGATTTATCCTCTAAACTGGTGGAAATGCTTTCAAATAGAAATCTACTCTTTAAGTTGTCAAATATGCTCTCTAACATAAGTTATCCACTAAATTTATTATCTCCTTAAAATTAGTAATCTTTATATTCTAATTCCACCAATTTGCTATCTAATCACCACATTCTGGCATATCTAACATATCTAATAGACTCTTCATCTTATAATCTGGTAAAGTACTATCAAAAAACCCTTAACACACTGATTTATATGCGAAATACTCTCTAAAATCATGCATCAATTAAAGCCAACTTTTAGGCAATAAATAAGTCTATGGTAAAACACTAAATAATTAAATTATTGGAGGCTTCTTTAATTCAATATCTATAAATTCAATTGTAACTTATGGTTAATTCAATTATTTCTTAAATAATCCCTTTGGTTATATAATTGATTAAGGATCAATTATCATTTAATTAAAAGGTGAACCACCTTATTATAATTATTATAATTACCATTCATCTAAATAATCAATTTACCTGGTTTCTTAATACTTGTTAACAGGATTTCTCCATAACTAACTGAAAGTGGATTCAAAGTACCTAATTTCTCCATATGAGCAATAAATTCAATCACTAAAACTAATTATTAATCTTTCTTTGTTGGAACACATCTTAAAATTATTGGATAATCAATTAAAAATTACCATCTATTTATAATTTTATCAATATTTACTTATCAGGTGATGATGGATCTACTTAACATGGTACAAAGACAGTATTACCAATAAATTTTTAATTTACTTTATCAAATAAACACATTGCTACTTCTCTTAATCTAAATTATTTTAAATCACATTTCTTTTCATCTGGTGATGGTAAACCTGCAGCTAAATGAAATTTAATTTCATAAAAGACTAAAGGTGGAGTCTGAGTCCTATTTTTAATTTATAATCTACATATCTATTAAGGATCTTTAAAGATTGTATTTTTAGGCTTAAATTAAATTTAAATCTTAATATAATAATCCACTACTATCTAATTATGGTGAAAGACAACTTGATATTGTATTTAAACCTTTTTTATTTTGAGCAAAAATAAATGAATAAGTAAAATTCTTAGGAATTCCTTAAAATAATTCTCTTATTCCTGTAATAGAAAGATTCTTAAAATTATTAATTTTAGTTAAAAGAGTTTAAGATTTAGGAGAATGTTCTGAAAATGGTTTATCTAAAAAATTAATAAGTTCATCTTATTCTATGTATCCACTTCCATCTTCATCAATTTCATCAAAAAGATCACATAGATCATTATTGTCTAATAAAATACCTAATTTCTTAAAAACTTATTATAATTGAGCCATATCTAATTCATTTCTATTTGCATCTGTTAATATATTATATTCACTCTAAATTTAAGAAAAGAGTTCATCTGTAGATAATATAGCTTTCATTAATTAATCCTTAATAATTACATTAAATTCCATTTTAGAAATCTTTTCATCATGATTTTTATCAAATATTTTAAAATATTAATCTAATTCTTAAGGTGTTGGATTTATACCAAGTTATAATAAAGCCATATTTAATTCTTTTGGATCTAACCATCCATTATTATTAGTATCAATTGAATTAAATAAATCTTCAATCTATTAATCTAAAGTAGGTTCATTATTTTCATTAACTTCTTTTTATAATCTGACTGGTTTTTATAATTAAGATTATACAGGTTATTGTTCATCATTATTTTAATGTTCAGAAACATTATCTTCTTATTTATTTTCAGCTATCTATCTTTTATATTCTTCTATATAATTCTCTTGTTGTGAAAGTTATTATAAATCTTATCGTTAAAATTATCGTTTATCATTATTTATAGATTTATGAACATTATGAACATTGATTGATCTTTAACTAGAAGAACTTGACATATTAATATGTTATGAACTTCCTTGTTAATATTATTATGATTGAAAAATATTTTGATGAGGATTAATTTAATTTTATTATTCAGATGATCCTTAAGAACCATCCATATGATCTTAACTTGAATTTAATATAATCTATGTTTTTTTTTTATTTTATTCAAGTATATTAATCCTTAATGCTTTTGCTAATGCAGCTAAACTTGTAGTTCCTTAAATAAATAATTTCTCTTTTAATGCTACTATTTCATCTATGCTTATATCAATAATTATATTTTTAACAACTTCTTCAAAATTAGGAAATGTAATAAATTTTTAATCATCTGCCTTTGCAACAAAATCACCCCATAATCCTTTTTCTCTAATTTCTCTTGTAAGAAAACTTGAAATATCATTGTATACATTTTCTAAATTTTAAGTCATTTATTATATATATAATTAGTATATTAAATTTATATAGAAATTATATTGTAATGGTGAATTATCAAAATAGAAGTTAGATGTTTATTCATATTGAATATTAAATATATTTTAAAGATTAAAATTAAAATGTCTGGTTTTATGAGATTAACAAAAATTCATAGATTAATGCAAAAGTCAGAAGAGAATATGAAAAATTTAAAGTCTTTATATGCACCTCAATTTTATAGAGGGTATGATGATGATTTAACTGTGATTGGTAGAATGAAGTATTTTCAATGATCTTATTACTTTAGTTGGTTAAAGATTAAACAACCAAAAATGTATCCTACTTCTAAAGAGGAAGAAACTTTCTAAGCTAGAAATATATAAAGATTCCCTGAACTTAGAGATAATATGTCAAATGAAATAGATCAAGTGCTTGAATACATGAAATTAAAGAATAATGATAAATTATCAAAAACATTAAAGAATGTTAAAGGAAATAATGTTGATGAGAAGATATTTAGAGCAATGGAATATGACATAAATTCATTTAAGTAATTAGAGGAAAAGTGATTTTATTCAAAAAAAAATAGTAAATATATAAACCACATTCAATATTAAGTCTAATTTCTACATTTAATACTTCCACTAATTTTATATATAATTTATTATTTATACACAATTATCTTTTTATTTATTAATATTTTATCAAATAATAATGATCCAATAATTAAATTATCTATTATTTCATCTACTATAGTTTATAATTATCTAACTATAGATTTATATTATTTCTATTTTATTATTATATTCAAAAGATGTTTTATATTTATATAGATATATTCTTAATAATAACAAATTAGAATTGTAATTATAGATTGATAATAAATTTAAATGATTATGAAATATCACAATTTGAATATATTAGGATGTTTGACAATGCCAGAAGGATTTGGTGATTTACTTCTTGGTCTTGGACTTAAAGAGGGTCTTGATTTACGAATATTACCATCAGATGGAATTTAGAGAAGCATTTGTTTTTATTATGGTGTTCTTATGTCACTATTAACCCAAGGATGATATTCAACATCTGTTATTCGAGGACGTTATTCATGATTCCTTTCCAACATTTAAGTTATCAAATTAATAACTTCTTCACTAAAATTATTAGGTGGTAATGTGAGATCCTTATTAATAATGCTGGTAACAATATCTTATTATGATTTTCCATTAAAAGGTACTTTACCAAATAGCATTTTATAAAGAATAATACCCATAGCCCATATATCTACAGATGTACTTACTCTAGTAACTTTACCACATAGAATTTCTGGTGCCATATAATGAAGACTGCCAATATTTACATGATCATTATTAGTTGGACATTAGAGACCTGCAATTCCAAAATCAATTGCTTTTAGATCATCAGAATCTGGAGAACAGAATAATAAATTTTCCATTTTTAAATCTCTATGAACAATATTCTTTTAATGACAATAAGCTATTGCACTAACAATTTATCTAAAATATTTGCATGCTTCTTCCTCTTAAAATCTACCTTTCTATCTTAATCTTTCTGCCAACTCTCCACCTTCTAAATATTCCATTATTACAGCCATCTAAGTATTTTTTAATGCATAAGAATTGAAAACCTTTACAATATTCTTGTGACTCAAAGATCTTAATACTTCTGCTTCTCTAAAATTTAGTTCTATGTCTTAAGCATTTCCCATCATTTTTATTACCTTGATTGCAACTTACTCTCCAGTTATACGATGTCTGGCCAATGTTACACATCCAAACCCTCCTTCTCCTAATTTCTTTATTGTTTCATATTGAGAAAATGGGGAATGAGGATCGAACTCATCTAAAATTAAACATCTATTAAAATTGTACCTCCTCGAGATGCATAAAATGATTAGCCATCCTTAAAAAATTTAACATCATCTTAAAAGATTTCTACTCCTTATTATGTAAAGAGTCTCATTTCTTTAAACTTTGTGAATTTCTAATCCAATTGTGTTTAAATGTCACTCCAATTAGAATTTTAAGCAATCTTCAAATCCAAGTACTTAGAAGAATCTCCATTCAAGTAGATACGAATAGACTTTATAAATTAGAGAGGAGAATCATCATATTCTTCATACATCATAAGTTAATTATATATCATTCAAGAAAATTACAAAGTAACGCACATCTTTTTGGTTTAGCTTTGTGTTTTATCATTATTCTGCTCCTTCCCGATTACAAAAATAGAGTCTCATTTTTCTCTATTCTTCTTGCTTTTTATAATTTAATTAAAGTTCCAAACTTAGAATTCTTATCCTCAATATACAACTTATCATTCCTTCATATATAATTTATAATATTTACCTTACAACAAATGCAAGATGAGTTCTACTAATTGTTATCTCACTTATCTTAACATTGCTCTCATGACCTCTTCCAACTGTCAAAGTTGTTAAATCTTTAAAATTCAATACTAGGATAGTCTAATTTTCTATATCTTCTAAAACAACATGATATTTTAGATTTTCGAGATTATACAATGCTAACACGTTTGTACCTGTGTACACTATGGAAGGATAGAACGATTAGCATATTTCACATCTGACACTCTTAGCATTTATTCTAAATTTTTTGTATGTTTGTTACTCAGTACAATATTGAGTTTGTTTCGCTTACATTTTCCCAAATAGCCAAGTCTTTAGACAATCGTAATGTACGTACTTGGTACTACCACAACAACGACATAATGAAAGCAAAGGATTAGAAGTGTTGCATGTATGTCCCAAACATATTCTGCACATATTTGATGACTCAAATAATGAGGCCTCTACATTTTCAATTTGACTAGCTACATTTTGGTAATGAGTCAAATGTAAGTTGTTTTCATTGCTAATGCTAAGCACTTTTAACACTTTCTTCCCTAACTTTATCACATCATTCTGTCTTATTTGTTACTCATTCTTAGACTGAATCCATAAATCTTCAATCTTATCTTTATCTCCAATAACGAATTATCCTACAATGCAGTGGCCAAATACTACCATCGTCAATTCTGACATTGAATAGAGTCCTTACTCCATCTTTTCTACTTATATTCTAATCAAAAAATGTTTCATTTTCCCCATTTCTACAAAATATTCCAGGTTCATTTATCAAATATTCTTATATTCTATAATTTTGTGATTCTCCATCAAACAATTCATAATTCGGCTTATCCCATGTTGTTATTGTTACAATAAGCTCCCCCATTTGTATTAAAAATAATAAAATTATTAAAAGGAGTATCATAGACAAAATTTATTCAGTAATATGATTATATTATACACAATTATAAATTAATACTCATATACTTCTATATATCAATTAAATTCCAATATTGCGTAATTATTCCATATATCTCTTATATTACATAGTTGACTAATTATTCTATTTAATCTAACTAATAAATACTTCATTTTTTCATATTACAGCTATCCCCTAGAAGTCAATAATAATATAAAATATATTATGCCATTTTGTTAATACAATGTATAATATTGATTAATTAAAATTATTTAAAATCTTATCAAAATAAATTTAAGATTATCTATTGAAATGTTTCGAAAATATTTAGGTTTCATAACTCTTCTAGATATAAAAACAATTGAGATTGATTCATATCTATTTATTAACATATACATATATATTATCAAACAAATAATTTATTCCAAAGATTTTTTGCATTTGAATAAGATTAATAATGTACAAATAAGATATAAAAGATATTTATATAAATTATTGAGACTATTCAAATACGATATACATTTAATTATATTAATATCTATAAAATTTTGAAGTCTATTCATAAAATCTCAGAAGATTTTTTCAAATATTATATAAACTTATAATTTTATTCCAATTTTATACAATATTTAAAGAATTTAAGTATTATTCTTAAGTTAGAACATATTTAGTTATTATCAATATATGATAATTATTAGATATAAACTTATTATATTGATATATAATAATTAAAAACAAGATAATTTTATATGAGTGTTTGAAATGATTCAAATATAGATTTGACGTATATCATATCAATTAGATATGCTAATTATTAATAAATCATTATTCATTAATAAATGCTACAATCACTGTTATATCATCACTCTTTCCTCCCATATATCTTAATCTACTCTATTTGGCATGTTGAGCAAATGGTGAATTGTATTTAGGATCTAAAGATAATCTATATGCATAATTAGCAATAGATTTTGCCAAAGCTTATGGATTATTAGGTTCAGTTTTAGTAACATCTTCAATAACAACTTGAATTTATTAAGCTGACATATTATCAAATAATCCATCAGTTCCCAAGACAACTAAATCTCCAACCTAAATCTTATGTGTGTCATCAGTAGCTACATTTGGATTGTCTCCTTCACTTCCAATCTATAATATATTAATATAATATACTTGATATGGAAAATTAAATGACTTCTATTATTCTGTAGATTTGAAATTTAATTGATATTTATCATCAATTTTGCGATAAATTGCATATCCTGAATCTCCAACTAAAGAAGATCTCAAATCACCTTAATTTATTGATACTACACAAACAGTAGTACTACCCTTTGCTTTAGTCACCTTATGAGCAGCAATAATATATTTTTTAGGATTCTTTAGATCTTCAGGATTCTATTTGAAAGCTTCTTCTAATTTTTTACATAATTCTTTGCTATACAATCCTGGATCAATACCCAACTAAATTCAATTTATCAATAATATCAATTACATCAGCCCATCCACCAACACCATCTGCTACAACAAGGATCTTTTTATCTGCAAATAAAGCATCTTCACCTCCTTTATGAACTTTTTCAGGATGAGGTATCATATGGGATCCATAATTGAAATAGTATTCTTTGGTTGTGCAAAAATTGGTTTAGGTTAAAGTGGTCAATCCAATAGCTGATGCAGACCATACTATTTAATTTCTTAATTATCTCAAATAATTTAAAGAAGGCCTCATAATTAAATTTTAATATTAATGCTTCTATGATTATTATAATATTTCATAAATGTGCCTTGTTAACCAAATTTTAGTTAGCAAAATCCCAATTGACTAAATTAGTTAAAAACAAATTTGCATAATCGACTCTTCTATTCTAAAAGTCCAAATAATATGCATGTTCCCAAACATCTAATGTAATCAAGGGATTGTATCCTTGAGTAATGGGGTTGTCAGCATTTGATGTCTTGACAATACTCACTTTTCCATCCTTCTCTACTAGCCAAGTCCATCTATTGAGAATTAAGAATATTCTTATACCCTGATCCAAATTATCCTAAAGCTGCATCTGTAAATGCCTTGCTGAAAGAATCTAAACTGTCAAAGCTTTACAATATCAAATCTTTAACTTATCCTGTTGCAACACCACCACCTTATGGTTTCATACTTCTCCAATAAAACCTAATGTTTTAATTTTCTAAAAGTACGTGTGATTCCATGTTTGAGCTGCATTATTGAATATTGCAACTGTGGCTGGATTTCCAAAAGTATTCTTTACAACATCTGTAAGACTTTGAGTTTCATATGGTGTTCCCTTTGTTAGTTCATTCAATTTGTTGACATATCCAGCATGATGTTTTCCATAATGAAAACTTATGGTATTTGCTGAAATATGTGGAGCCAAGGCATCCTAAGCATATGGTAATGGGTCAAGAACGAATGACATTATGATATTTTATTTTATTTATGAAATGTCTTGCCTCTAAATCCTTTAATAACACTAATAAGATATGTTAATTTAGATATATATTGGGAGAATATATAATAAACTTATTTAAAATAAGTAATTTTATAATCATCTTGCCGATTAAACCGAAAATTTAATAGGTTCCATTTCTTATTCTTACCCTCTTGATTAATGATTACCTTCATTACTTTAGGATATCTAATCTTAATTCTACCTCCATTTTATAATATTCATGCTTAGAATCATAAATAATATTAATATAGGAATGGACATCAAAGAGAGATAGAGCATGTTATAATTGTATTAATTTCCCAATTGAGTCAAGTTTATCTTGTCTCTTTCTAAAATTTATAAAAAAATTATTACTATAGTAGTATGATTATGCAATGCCTACTTATTAAGTTTATAGATCATAATGTGTATAATATTTCTATAGAAATACTACTCCTAGAATGATTTCATCATCATTGTCTAAGTTTTAGAAATTCAAATAACATCTATATTATAAAAAATAATTGTATCCACAATAGGATATGTAATCTTAGGGAAGTAAAGTTAAATTTAATTAAGAATTTATATTAAGAATTAGATGTGGAAATTAAGTATTAAAATGACATACTAATTCATGAAAATAATTATGTTTTACTTATTCGCAATTTAAATTATAATCATCGTTAAATATGTTATGTAAACTATGAAATTTTTTAGATGACAACATAATTTTAGATGTGCCACTATCAAACAAGATTAATTATTTATTTGACTCTAACATTTGTTAATGTGTAGTATTAGAAATAAATACAGAATTGGCATACACATTCCATAATTCACTCCTTGTTGTATTAATATATTATAATTATCCCACATAATTAGATTAATTTGGTTTACCTAAAGTCAATAAAGAATTAACAGAACATATTTAATCATCAAGTAATAATCCAAATTATTTTGAATCAATGATTTTATGATTATATAAAAGATCAATAAGGTTAGCATCAGAATCAGGATATTATTTACTTAAACCAATGATTCCATCAGCAATTAAAGAATCTAAATCTTAAACTATTTGAACTTCTACAACTGATAAATTCAATGATCGATTTGCAAATTCAAATAATTATGTGAATTATGTACCATAAATGCTTCCCAAACCATAATCTAATCTCTTTTGCATAATAGCTTGACACTAATTACATTCATAATATTTTCTCCTATTATTTTATTTTCCAAATATCCAAAGAGTATCACTTCCTGTATCCACAATTAAATTATAAGTGAAATTATTGGCTGTAATTGGGACACTATAGTAAACTTATTGCAAATTAATGAGTTAAATATCTAATGATTAAACAGAAGCAATTATAAAAATTAACATAATTAATAATATTCAAACTCTTTACTAATTCTCTAATATTTTACAGATTCCTTTTACATTTTTAATATTATTTAATGGTAGTTCTTAATCTTCTTGGTTAACATAAAAATAATTGGATGGTGTAAATGAGAAACTTAACATTTCAATAATCATCCTGAGAAACTGATTAGTTGCATTATTTTGTGTACCAAATTAATTTTGAATTGCTTATTATCTTCTCAGCTCGTTAATAAATGAATAATATTGAAGGAGTCTTTGTTAATCATCAATAAGAATGTTATTTAGATTAATGTTATTTTAATTGTATGTTTATTAAAGGAATTATAAGAGAATTTTTTGGTCAAATTAAATGTCTTTAAATTAAATATGTTGATTTGTATTCAATAGATAGCACAAGGTGATTCCTAATCTGAATAAATCTTCTTATCTTGCAATCATTCGTGCTTCTATTTAATACTACTACTAAACAATTCCTCCTAAAATTTAATAGGGAGTCTTATAAAATCCATATTCAAAAATTGGTCTATTAATATCTTAATTGTTAAATTATCTAGCTAAACCAAAATCACAAAAACAAATTTTAATCCCTTTTTTTACATAGATATTTTGTGGATTGAATTATAACCTATTTTAAAAACGAAGCCATTTTTCAATCCAATAGATTAATTAATGTACCTCTATTTGAGAGAACCTTACATTAGTTATTATAATTCTATCATTAGGTTATAAAATTTGAAACCTACTTAGAATTTATTGGAGATTCAAATAATCTGGTTAGATATCATATTTGTATTACATTTATATTTATTCATTTGATAATTAATTCCTTAACATCTGTAATCCATCTTCTATTTTATATTCCTAATTTATATTATCAGTTGAATAGTAAAATTGATATTCTTCATGAAGTAATATATTCTCTGGTTTAACATCTAGATGGAATATACAGTTATGATGAAAATAATTAAGAATCTTTATTAATCTTTTGCAAATGATTGAAAGTGTCTCTAATGATAATCTATCATTTATATAGTTATTATTGATAAGACAATCCATATTAAGACTACCTTAATTCATGTAAGCTGTTGCGATCCACAAATTAAAGTCATTATCACAAATGTTTCTTTAAATTTCACATGTATAATCACTGCTAGCCAATTATTATAAACAAAGTTATTCAAACTAAATTTAATTATCAAATACTCTATTCATTTATCTCAATTCTTCCAAAGAAAGAAAACTATTTTGAATATTCAAAAACTTATAAACCCTTTGTTCAAACCGATAACAAATTCCTTGTGCTCCTTCTCCAATTTGTTCTTATTCTTCCTGCAGTGTGTTACGTTACAATTCTTCTATTTAGTCATTTATTATGTTTTATCCTTATTCTGGAGTAATTTATTATTACATTATTTATTTAAATGACATTACCAAAATTTTCATTGCTTGCAAATAAATTAGCTCAAATACGTGCAAAATAACTTGCTTTAAATTTTAAAGAAGATCAACTTAAACCTTTAATATTATCAGATTCAAAAATCAATTAGTTGGTTCCAAATTTCTTTACAAATCAAAATAATTTTGAGTTGTATGAACTCAAAGATGAATATAAGACAATACCTAATTCTTAAAATTTTAATAGTACTAGTAATACATTTACTTAATTAAAAATACCTATAGGATAGAATTAAAAATTAAGAACCTAATTTACTAAATTATAAACTAAATATGCAAGAATAGGAAGATTATTAGAAGTGTTAGATTTATAAGTAGGTTTTGTAGGATATAAACATTCATATGCTGATTTCTCTAATCGTTTAATAACAATAGCAACATTAGGAGTTTATGATTTTCTATTCTATAAATAAGAATTTGATTATAACAAAGATATAATAATGAATTCATATGTAAGTTATGTTGGTAAATCATCTATTGAAATTAATAGTGATTTATTTTAAGATAACTAATTGGCTGCTACAGTTTCTTTTGTGATGGTTAGTAGGAATGCAGAAAAGTATGATTAATCTTAACCTGTACCTTAATTATTAGATGAATAACATCCTGATATTAAAGAATCTTGTTTTATTAGAAAATAATTAGGAATATTGAATTAATAAAGAAGAATTTAAGAATCTAAACTATAATAAGAACCACCAAATTAAAATGAATCAAGATATTTGCATGATATGATGAAAAAAAGAGATGATAGTCTATTCATTAGTCAAACTAAATTAGATAAGAATATTATGATGCATACTTAAGATAGAAATCTACATGGGAAAGCATTTGGAGGTCATATAATGAAAGAAATTATTGAATTAGGTTGGTTAGTTGGTTATAAACATGCTTTAGGAAATGATGTATACATAATTCATATTTTTGATGTAACTTTCCTTGCACCAGTTGCAATAGGGAGTATTATAAATTAATCTGGAAAGATATGTTATGTAGAAGATGATATTATGATAATTTAAGTGTAAGTAGATGTCCACAATTACAAAGATAGCAAAGTGACAATTCTAAAAACATCTGAAGTTTACTTAGCAATGAAATCATCAATACCAATCAAATAAGTTTAACCATAAACATATGAAGAAGCAATGTTATTTTTACATGGTAAAAGAATGATGGAAAAATTAAAATATGATTGAATATTAATTATAAATTTCTTAGTTATTTCCATTTCAATTTCTATTTTCTAACTTTCTTTTATTATATAATTAGATAATAATAATAATAGAAATTCTCTTCTAATTAATATAAAATATAATTTAATTATTTTTTATAAAGCAGATTATAAAAATATCTAAAGAACATTTAATAATTAATAGTTATTCAAGATAATTATATAATAATCTTATGTTATTAATTGAAAAAAAACAAAATTTTGACATCAATATAATTTATCATTATAATTCTGTTTTTATTTATGTAAATCAAGATATGATTTACTTATGATCTAAGATTATGGACTTGAATACTTGATTTATTAAGATAATTTAGGTGTAAATGTACAAGCATTAATTATTTATTATTCTTTTTCTTCTTGAAGCTTTTTTATTTTCAATTACTTCTTTTTTTGAAATATTTCATTTCGATCAACTACTGATAAGCCAACCCAATCCTTATAATGAGATAAATCTTATTTGATTGAACAGTCTTAATATTTTATCTCTCTGAATTCAGAAATCTACTTAAAAAGAGCCATAGATTATGGTCTGTACATTTATTATTTTGTTATAGTTTTTGGAGTCTAACTCTAAGTAGAAGTTGTTTCTGGAACTTTTGTATTTTTTTGTGTTTATGCTTAAACTTTAGGCACTTAAGGTTTAACAAAGAATTTCAAATTCATAAATATGGTCTTTTTCATCTACTAATTTTGTAAAAGTGGTTTTTAATCCATCTAATTCTTTTTTTAAGTACTCATTAGATTACTTAATCTTGATAAATTTTCTTTTAAGGTATAATCATCTAATTATGTTGATTAATTCATTACTTCTAATATATTAATATCATTTTTAATTCATTATTAGATTATATACATAATCATTACATACTATACTCACTTCATTTTAATTATATATAATAATACAAACTCATTTCTCTATAAAATATTAAAAAAGCTCGTTACAAAAGAAGATATTAATTCTGTTAAAATTTATTTATTTTTCCTTCATGAATAATAATACTATATATTTAAGAGGTGGAGGTTGTGGTACCTCTAAAAAAGATCCAAAATAACATAAATAAGAAATGGAAAGAGGTAAATAAAAAGTTGATATGACTGAAAAAGAAAAAATGGCCAAACTTATTCAATAACACAGTGAAATTATTTCCAAAAATGCTATCATAGCTATGAGTGAAAAAAAAAAACTAATGTCTAGTTTCTAATTCTTCTTAGATAATAGATAAGAATTATGGGGAATTATAGTTGATAAAGAAGAATCAGCTTAAATAATAGATATTATATTAAATAATCTTAAGCCTTTACTTGAAGCATTAAGAACTCTTATAAAAGGATTTGTAGCATATTCTGTCTATTTATCATAAATCATCTAATTGTTATCTTGGATAATCTTTTGTTTTTATAGTAATTCTAAAGAAAATAAAGAGAGATTTATGAAAGTTAATGATTAAACTTAGTATCTTGAGATTATCAATTAAATCAAAACAGAAATAGATATAGAAAAAAATATAGATAAATACTAAAATAATTTAGAATATGAACTCTATATAATAGAATCAATATTTACTATTGTTCCTACAGATAGTGATGAAGCTAAGGAAATAGCAGCTTCTTTTCTTATTGGAGCAGCAACTTCATTTCTATCCTTCTCAATAAATGATTAATTTTTGAGTAGTTTAAAAAAAGGAGTAATCTATATTTATAATGAACATGACAAATCTAGCAGAAAAAAAATACTAAAAATTATTTTTGCTTTATTATAACTCAAATATGAAACTATAAATAAGATTTAAAAAAGTGATTAAGCAAAAAACTGTGTTGATTTAGATCAATTAAATAATGTTTATAATGATGTAATAAGCAAATCCTCAGATTGGCAAGTATGGTGTACATGGACTAAAGTGTTATCACAATTATTTTAATAAAAATTGATTTTACCTTTAGATAAAATTTAGAGTCTTAAAATATCAAATGAACCTTATATTCATAAAAATGAAATTAGAAAAACATGTTGGTTGAATATAGATAGTAGATTAATTGAAAATAATGCAACTGCTAAATTAATTTATCAAAACATAGAAGAATTATAAGAACTTGGAAGATTGTAATATACAATTTTATATGGATATAAATAAATGCCAAGTTTTGAATCGTTATACTCTTCTAAACTTACTTAATCAATAGAAAAAGAGAATTTTGATGCATTTCAATTTAATTTAAGTTCAGTTTCCATAATGTTACATAATTCATCAGAAATCTAAAAAGCTTAAGAATAATTATAATAACATATTGAATTATTGAGTACTACAAACAAATCTAAAATATAAGATATTGAAAATTATCTTAAAAAAGCAATTAATAATACAATCTAATTATTAGAATCTATAAATTCATTGCATGAAATTGAACATCCAAATGATAATGAATTAGAGTCTCCAAAATAACCAGTTGGATAAAATGCCATATTTTAAAGTTAATTTATATAGAATCAATCACCTATTTAATAATATGAAGATAAAGAAGAAAAATGGTTAGAAGAAATTGTTAAATTGAAAAAAAGTTTAAGTATAAAATTTGTATCATTCTTTTTAAAAAGTTTACTTATCAAAATTAAAAATTAATCAAAAGATAACTAATAAAAAGAGATAGATGATAAAACAAAAGAAGAATATCAAATAGATTTTATATTAGGTGAAAAAAAAAATGATAAAGAATAAATTAATCAAAATAATTAAGTTTAAGATTAGATTATTCAAAATAATAATTAAGATTAAATTATTCAAAATAATAATTAATTTTAAGATTAAATTATTCAAAATAATATTTTTGATTAAGATTAAGTTATTCAAAATTATACTTCAGATTAATATAAATTAAATATATTAGATCTTTTATTAGAAATAGAAAAGAGAAAAGTAGAGAAAAAAAAAACTAAGATTCCTAAATATAAAGAAATTGTTTCTATATTTAAGAAAGACCCATTTTAAATAGAAAATCTTTAATAACTGCAATCTAGACTCAAATATATATCTATTCAGCGATCTAAACATCAAATGAAGAATGATGAGGAATATAAATTTGGATTTAAAGAAGGAATTAAATTGTTATAGGGAGGATCAGCCTTCCTTAAATGGAATTTAAATTTATTTGTAAAAATGAAGTTCTACATTTAAGAATTAAGCTAAAATCAATATAATGATAAGTAACTAAATTAATAAGCAAATCAGATAATAGATTCCTTAAAAGGATTTTCATTATAATTAGCATCAATAAAAGCTGTACAAAAATGTATTAAGTTTTTTTACAGCAAATATGATGCTTGCATAAAATATAAACTAATTAGAAAAGTTTCATAAAAAAGAAATGTTATTTATTAAGTTTTGAAAACCATTACACTAAAAAAGTTTGAAACTCTCAACATGGTTTATGCAATTCATAAGGAAACAATAAAAAAAGTAAAAGAGACAGGAGTAATCTACATTTGTTAATCAATATTTTAAGCTATTTAAAATGAGCATGAGAAATTTCTAGATGATATTGTTCAACTCAAACGAGCTATTTAAATGATAATCGAATTATTAAATGCTGATGAAAAAAAAAATAACAAAGATTAAGATGAATTTAAAATTTTTACAAATTAAGAAATTTTCAATTAAGAAAAAATAGTAAATCCAGTTAATAATGCTTAATGGTTGAAAAATAAGGATTCCTATTTTAAACTAACTCTTTTTTATTAAAATTATTGTCATTCTTTTCAAAGTTGGTAGAAAAAAAATAAAAATTATTCTCAAAATGTTGTTTATTAGATTGAAATGAAATAATAATTGATAAAAGAGTATCTAGAAAAAATCGAAATAGCTTAAGAATACAAAACATTATAAGAAGAAGATGATTAATTTAAATAAGAATTATATAATGAAGTATAATCTCATTTAGAGTCTTTATTAAAGTCAATTATCTAGAGTGAATAAGAAAACTTTAAAGCTGAATAAAATTCTCCCAAAGAAAATCTTCACTTTTTTTAATTTTTATTTGATAATATAAAGGAAATTGAACATTAAGTCTAAGTTTAATTCGACAACCTAAAATTTATTAATTAATAATAAGGTGTCTTTTCTATTTTGATAAATAATTCATTACTACTTAAAAGAGCGAATAGTCAATATCAAAACAAAATAGAATAAAATGAATAAAAAATAAAAGACTTAGTTGGGAATTATGAAGAAAAATTACCTAAATAAGTAATTGAATTAAAAGATCTATAATAAAGATTTTATGATTAAAAATTAATTCTAAGTCCTAATTTAAAATCAGAAATATTCTTTATATTGACTTAGATATGGAAAAAGGAGGATGTAACATCAGATCCAAGTTATTACGATAAATTTGCAGAAGCAGCAAGTGACTTAATAAATAAAAATAAATGGAGAGTCAGATAATCATGTATATATGAATTGATGTACTTTAAGAATAGTTGTTTGACATAGGCTACTGTTGATTTGGCTAAAGGATTATTAGTAAAATGTAGAATATATGAAACAGATAAACGAAATAAATAATTATTGGATGATTAAGACTAAAATTAAGTGGTAATTATGTTTTAATAATGTTGGACATAATAAGAAGAAGATGTCTAAAATAAAATTAAACAAAAATTAGAAGAATTGAATGATATAGCCTATAAAATAACAATAGAAACAAAATAATATGAGAAATCTAAATTCAAGAAAAGATATGTTGAATTAGAAAGTGAAATACAAGGTATTGTTAAGAATGCAGAGAGCCTTGGAAATTCACTTGGAACAAGTTTATTGTTCTTTTAAGATATCAAAAATGATTTAGTTAACATTTAATCTTAATTGAAGAATTTATAAGGATCTATTGATTAAATCCATAAAGATATTTAATTATTGTAGGGAAGAAGTATAAAAGATTTACTCATAATTAGAATGTAAAGAGTATTAT